GAGCAGTTGGGGACCAAATAAAAGCATCATGTTTAAGTAAATCTGTTAAGGGAGCTGCAATGGTTGCATATCATTGAACAAATTTTCTGTAGTAACCTGTGAGGCCAAGAAAACCGCGTAGCTTCTTGACATTTTTGGGAGCTAGCCAATCAAGGATGGCCTTTATCTTATTTTGATCCATACTCATTCCATTGGAAGAGACAATATGTCCCAAATATTCAACCTCCTTTTGAGCAAAAGAACACTTGCTTTTTTTGATAAAAAATTGGTAAATTTGCAAAGTATGTAAGACATGTTTTAAATGTTGTATGTGCAGGTCCATATAAGTACTATACACAAGTATATCATCAAAAAATACAGCAACAAACTTGCGCAAATAGGGCTGAAGTATGTGGTTCATTGTGGCTTGAAATGTAGAAGGAGCATTGGTTAGCCCGAAAGGCATAACCAAGAACTCATAATGGCTTTGGTGAGTCCTAAAGGTTGTTTTGTGTGTATCTTCTGGCTTAAGGAGAATTTGGTGATAACCAGCCCTTAAATCTAACTTGGAAAAAATTTGAGAGCCTCCTAACTCATCCATTAACTCATCAACAGTGGGAATAAGGAATCTGTCTTTGATGGTAATGCTATTAAGTGCCCTATAGTCAATACAAAATCTTTATGTTCTATCTTTTTTTTTAACTAAAAGGACAGGAGATGAGAAAGGGCTATTGCTATGTTTGATAAATCCAGAATCAAGCATCTGTGCAACTTGTTTTTCAATTTCATTTTTTTGAAAATGGGGATATCTATATGGTCTGACATTTACAGGCAGTGTGTTGGGTTCAAGGTGAATTTCATGGTCTATTTGTCTATGTGGAGGCAAGTCTGTAGGTTCATGAAAAGTGCATCAAATTCTACTAAAGAGTTGTTGTACCTGTGGTATTGCAATCTCTGTTGGTGAATCAAAAATAGTGTCCAACATCTTCAAATGAAACAAGGATGCCACTTGTCCTGTTTGCTGTATCTTGCGAAATTGATTAAGAGAAATTGGGCCTGTATGAGATTCTCCTTTAAGCTTGATAGTTTCTTTATGCCATTGAAACTCCATAGTCAGCTTATTGTAATCCAAGGTAACTGGTCCAAGTACTTGCAGCCACTGAACTCCCAGGACCATATCAGCTCCTTGAACTGGTAAGATATAGAAATCCTCCAAAAAAATATGGTGCTGAATTTGGACAGGAACTGCAGGACAGAAGCCTTGACAATGTAATGTCTGCCCATTACCCACCATGACTTCGAACTGCTTGTCATTGGTAGCAGGTAAGGATAGTGAAGAAACCAGCTTGGGTTGGATGAAATTATGTGTGCTCCCTCCATCCACCAACAATGAGAACTCCGATTTACCAATATAGCTTGTAAATCGCAATGTTTGAGGGACAATCACACCTGCTAACGCGTGGAAACTGATTTGAGGAATAGTTGTAACAGACTCATCCACCTCATTTCCAAGAGGAGAAAGGGAAGAATCAACTAATGAATGGAATTCTTCGACTTCCTCTTCATCGGGAACAATCAACACATGAACAGAAGCCTTACATTTATGACCAAAAAAATACTTGTCTCCGCAAGTGAAACATAAATTTTTGTCTCTGCGTTCCTGAATTTGGCTTTGTGTTAGCCGTTTTCAATCGGGTTTTAGTGTATTTGTAGTGTTAACTGGATAAGCAGTCTTGGTTGGGTTTGTATTCTGGGTTGTTTTGGAAGGGTGAAGAGGTGTGGGTAACAATGGAGGATAAGAATAGTGTAATTTTGGGGGGTTGTTCTTTAATTGGATTTTGGACTCTTGGATTTTTGCTAAGGACATGGCACAGGTTAAGGACGTTGGACGAAAGGAGGAAACATCATGTAAAATTTCAGGTTTCAATCCTGAAATAAAACAACTTACAAGAAAGGATTCAGACAATCCATCTACCTGATTGGAAATTGTCTCGAATTGCTCCTGATACTCCATTACCGTTCCCGATTGAACCAATTTCGCCAATTTGCCTTGATAATCTTCCATTTCGGATGGCCCAAATCTGCTTTGTAAAGCTTTAGAAAACCCAGACCACGAATCAATCACTGTGTTCTTGTGCAACCACTGAAAACAAGCTAATGCTTTCCCCTCAAAATAAAAGGGCGCTATCTTCAACCTCTGATCTTCAGCCATATCATAAAAATAAAAAAATTGATTGATTTTATAGATCCAACCTTGTGGGTCGTTTAATCCGTCGTACCTGGAAACCTTAAGTCGCAAATTCTTGGCTGCAGCATGATCGCGCGAGCATGCAGAGTGGGAATTTGTCGCGGCACCGTGTGCTGGTTGTTGTTCTCTGTAATTATCAAAAATTGCATCCAATTTACATGCTAATTCTTGAAAACGCTTGTTCATCTGCTCCTTCAAGATGTCTACTTCAACTTGTGTGTTTTCCAAACAATCATCAATGGATCTGTTGCGTGTTTCCGGTGCCATAGTTCGGGGATGAAAGCACCAATTGATAGAGGTTATCTCTATCTACGAAGGAAGAAACGAAAGAAAGAGGTGAGAAGAGAGAAAAAACTCAGAGGTGAGAGAAAAATGATTCAATTCTTATTTCAATTACTTGACATCTGTACAAAGCAATTCATTTATATCAATACACGTTTACCCTTTCCCTTACACGTCATCCTATACTAATCACCTTGCTATTTCGGTTACACTTCTTTTATTTACAATGTATCTCTAAATCTTAGTGGCTTCCTTCTTTCTCTAACTGCTTTCCTTTCTGCTATGCTTGGCTCTCTTATATCTCCAAGGTTCTCTTCTTTTGTTTCTCCGGCTCTTGCATCTTTTATGTTCTCCTCATCAGTTAGTGTTGTATCAACATTGAACTCATATTTTTCATATTCAACTACATTAAAATGACATATGTCACATTCTTTAATTTATTATTCCATAAATTGCTTCAGTATTGGAAACTAAGAGATCATTGTAGAAGAGTATACTAGCAAATAAAATTACAAAAAGTTTTTAAAATGAGTTTTACATTTTTTTAATAAGATGAAACAAATTTTTTTTTTTAAATGAATGACCCGACCGGGTCGCCGAGTCACCAGATTTGGCCGATTTTGACCGAGTCGATGCATGATCGGTCCAATACTTAACCTGAACCGGTCTGATGATCGGTTCACCGGGATTCGGGTCGACCCGACCAGATCGGGCCAGGTTTTACAACAGTGCATTCCCAAGACTCAAACTCAATATTATTATTGTTCAGAACTTATATAAGTCACGTAAACTCAAGATTGTGAACTTACCAATTATAAGGTAAAGTGAAAATTGAAACTTTCGATAATTTTTCTAAAATCCTAGCTCTAGGGGGTGTTTAGTAGAGGAAAAAAAATCTATGCCTGGTAATTACCATTGCTAGGAATATACTGGGAAAGCGAATTATCAGGAAATGTGACTAAAAAACTGTTTGGTAGGCCAAAACAAGGTTGTTGAATCGCAATACATATCGTTTATCATTTGACCAGTTTTTTTATATCGAATCGTAATATACAAAATATATTAAAAAATAATTTAAAAATATATATTAAAATATTTATTTAATAATTTCCTTTATTAATACATACATTTTAGGTTGATTTTTGATTTTAATTCACAAATAAAATCTTTTTTTTCCTTATTAATAATTATGTTTTAGATTAATTTTTTTAATTTGAATCATAAATAATTTTTTTTATTTTTTTAATATTAAAAATTAAAAATTTTGATTTGATTTTCGTATCTATGATATACGATACATATCGTATACATGTAGTATGGCACAATATCGTATCGTCTGATATGAATCCCTTTCTGATACACCCCAATATACGTATCGTTATATTTGTAAATCGTATCATATTGTATAAATCGTATCGTGTATTGTAAGATACTGATATCTATAGGCCAAAATATGATCAAAAATATTGGCTCAAGTTTTCTGTTTTCTATATTGGTTGATTGTAAAATATTATTGGGAATGTAACTGCACATTTACCAAAATAAAAAAAAACTGCACTATTGGCACTAATGGTGCCATCACTGCACTATTAGCGCGAGAAGAAAGTATTGCTTGAAGACTTGGCATTAGTGGCGTCATCATTGCGCTACTGGCGTAGTGGCCAAAATATTTTCCCACCTCTCGGAAATGGTGGTATTCTTGGATGACATTTTGCCTTAAAAATTCACAAATAAGAATTCTCAAAAAATCAAATTCTCAAGAAAAATTTCACAATTCTTATACCAAACGTTGGTAAATAAGATTTCCAATATCACTTTTTCGAAAATCTAAAAAAAATCCTTGTATTAGGGCTACCCCATTATCTTGAAGCCTCTCTTATTGTGGATTCTCCCGTATTAAAAAAAACATGATATAGTCATGGGAGAACCATAATCATACAAAGGTGAATTAGTGATAATAAAGGAAGAGGAAATTTTTTTTATTAAAATAAATATTTACAAAATCAAAACCATTGGCTATCTTTGTATGATTATGATTTTTTATATAATTATATTATATTTTTTTAAATATGAGATGATCAATTTCCTTATTATTATATACAAATACAATAATATGCCACACTAGCAATTGTCTCCATCATAAACACTAGATGATCTCATATGTTACATTAATCGACCCGTTTGAATCGATCAATAACAACAATAAATAATAAAATTAAAAAAATATATAGTATAGGTGTGATTCGAAGAAATGTTTTTTCATATCCACACGAAATCAATACGAATGACGTGACTAAAAAAAATGTATTTTAATAAATATAAAACAAATAAAGTGAGCCAACTGCCAAAACAAACTGTCACTAAGAAGCAAAGATGTGAAGTAAGAGTAGAGTGGTCCATAGCCCATAGAGTTCCGAATTCTTAACGAAACTGGGATATTCCCTTCCTTATCCCCATCAATTCTAAATAACGAAGATTTTCTTTTATTTATTTATTTTTATTTTTATAATTCTCTTTGGGGTAGTCGCTGCATTTTCATTCTGTTAATTCCGATTAGGGTTCTTCCAATTCCGATTAGGGACATGGACTTCATCCAGAGCCGCGTGGAGCCATGGATCAGGGACCAGCAAGCGAAGCTTCTCAAGGTGTCGTGGGGCCCACTCCAATGGCGGATGAAGTGGCCATGGACAAGCCACAGCGAGCAGAAGAAGCGGATTAAGGAGGAGTACGAGCGACGGAGGAAGCAGCTTCAGGATCTCTGTCGAGCACTCAAGGCCGAATCAATATCCGATTTGCAGGATCTTCTCTGTTGCATGGTTCTCTCCGAGTGCGTTTACAAGGTATATAGTGTTTTCGTTAGCTTCAATTGTTTCTTTTTTTCCACTCTCACTGAATAATGTGTTTCCTTTTTGTTTTTGTTTTTTTGAAAAATAATTGTTCGTGTTGAATTCACATGTAAATGCTTGTGGTTCAGTTACAATTTAAGTGGCATATGGAAATTCCCCAAAATATTTTTTTAAGTCAAATTTATTGATGGATAGAAGGTTGTGCTGCGTTTGCAAAGAAGTGGCATAAGGGAAATTATGAATTATGTATTTGGAATATTTTATTTTTATTTTAATTTTGAAAAGCGTTGTGAGAGTGTGTGTTGAGGACATGGTAGGGTGTTGAATTGCATATGGGTTTTAACGGTGCTGGTTTTTGGTGTTTGCTGCTGCATTTTCCTCTTGGTAAAGGATAGTTGATATCTTGATAATAATGGGAAGGGTCTAGTTCACGTAGAGGGTCATTTGATACTAGAGGTTTTTCAGAATTCCTGAGAATGGGGTTGGAGTTACAATGGGATTGTTCATGCTTTTGAAGGTCAAGGTCATTGGAATTCTGCATGTTTTTTGTTGGAATATTTTTCCTCTCTATGATCGACAATAAGTGACTGTCTTTTTGTTTCAAATTCAACATTGTATATGCACTTTGACATTTTTGCCAGATTGGGATTTGTAAAGCAGGAGCTGAATAATGTGAGATTTGTCAATGAGTTAAAAGAAAAATTGAATTGTGGACTACTTAAATAAATAATTTTATATATACTAGAATGTTGAATGTGAACATATTTAAGAAATTGAACTTAGTATCTTAAATTATATTTATGAACATAAATTTTATTAATTTCTTCATTGGGATTTATATCTTATTAATTAATGCTGACTCTAATATTATAGAACCTCGGGTTGACTGTCAAGACACACAATTCTTCCCCAAACAGTTTATTCTCAAGTCTTACATTGATCCCCAGTGGATGGTTCAGTGCTAAATGGGTCATTCATCTTGTTTAAAGTTTGGACTCAAAAAAATCTTTCTAGAGCCCTTTTACATTATGACATATAATGTGTCCCAATTACCATTCCATTACAGAGGCATCCTATTATTAATTTGATATATAAGAATGATAGAACTGGACCAGAGATTAAAGAAAAATTACCATTCGTCTTATTATTAATTTGATGTGGTCTCCCTCCCTTTGGATCAATGGAGAACCCAAGGTTAGGAAGAGATAGAAAAATTACAGAATTTTTGTTTCTCAAGTTTTCAAGCTCTCTCCCGCTCACCCAGTTGTCACCACTCAATACCCTCTTTTCTCCCTTTTCTTTCCTTATATCCTACTTCAGCCTATTCCGTTAGAGGAATATCCTCCAATATCTGGTAACTTTAGCAACTGTGTCTAACATTGTCAATTAATATCAGGTAGCTCTATCTACTAGATCTAACAGCATCAATTAATGCTAACTGTTATTATTAATAGGGCCTGGCCCAACTAGATCATTGGGTCTATACTTATTTCTTCTCACATTCACCTTCCTAATTGTGGGCCTGCCACTGACAAAGAATTATTGGGATGCTTTCAAATATGTGGTGAGGAATTAGGATGTAATGTTGATTACCTTATACAATGATGTAGCCAAACTAGAAGAGATACATACAATGCAGGTATAAAGAAAATAATTCATCTTATTTAATAATATGATGCTATGACAGATTTATGTTTTAAAATTTGAAAACTGGACAAAAACTGACTTGAAAACTGCAATGTTTCAGAAAAATAATTTGAAAAAGTTGCACAAATAGTATTTGTGTAACTGATGGATCTTTATGATTGATTTGAAGTGAAGATTATATTGTTACAATTTGGGTTTTATTTTAGGAAAGTTAAAAGTGAATGGAAAATAGGGAATTCCTTATAATAGTACATAAAACTCTTCAGTTGCTTTGACTTATGATGTAAAAAATGGAAAACCAGTATGCTTGTTCCAGTTACAATCAACATATAGTGCTACTCTGAATCATATAGAATGTAATTATTGCCACGTCTTGATAATCTATTGAGGGTCATTCCTGGAGCTTTGTTTTGCTGTAGTGTTTAGTTAATCGCTATTAACATGAGAAAATATATTGGATAACAATAATCTAGGAATTACCTGCATAGTATATGCGCCTCAGAGTCTCACAAGTGCCTACAACAACTTTGGTACTTCAATAAGTTTTTATGCATACAATGCTGCCTATTTGTTAGTTAGATACAACCCACATATAACTCACATTTACTTGTACTTCCCTACACCATAGAGACCTGCTGCTGAGCTGATTCGAGCTGTAAATAAATTTAAGGCTGATTTTGGAGGACAAGTTGTTGCTTTGGAGCGGGTGCAACCTTCATCAGATCATGTTCCTCATAGGTTTGTCATTCTTTATACAATTTAAGTATTTAACCATGTCAATTTGATCATTCTTCTTATCTTATATTAATTGCATAAATGCCATTAAATATTTTGATATTCAGAGGCTTTTATCCTTTTCATTTTAAAGTTGACATTTGATTTCTTGAACATATTAGAATATATTTGGATTGTTTTTTGGAGGTAAAAAGGGGAGGTTATTTGGATACCTTGATATTAATTGGCAGTGTTCCTTATTTTTATTATTTGTTTTTGAATGTAGTTGTTTCAGTTTGTTTTATTTAGTGTCTTTGACAATCTAGCTTGTGAATTTCTCAAGAGCTTACATTGTTAAGAAGAAATATTTAGATAATTGCAATTACTTTATTTGTGACCGGTTAGATGGATGAATTTCCTCTGAGAGTATAATTGTGCTTTCAAGTTTTTCGTCTGTGTTTCTTCTTGTTATACTCTAGAAGATTATGTATTCTAGTATTTGAATTTTATGGACTATCATACTTGCAGAAAACAGAGCACATTTTACTTTGTTTTTTGTTTTTGCAATGAAGATGTTAGCTACGATATAAGGATGTTGGACAAACACAGATTAGGCCAATCAAATCTCCTAAAATTAGTAATTAAAAACAATGTCATCCAAATAAAGGAAACCAAATGTTGAAAGTTGATTGACCGATACGCCTATCAAACTAAACAAAGAAACAAATAAAATGAATAAAATTGATATTTGAATGTTAATCACATGGAAAACCACACGAGACTCACAAGAATAGTTATTTGATTAAAGATCTATTTTATCCCATCTCTTAATTCTTCTCAAGAACATCAATGTCTGTTAAGACCCCAAGCAATATTAAAGTCTGATAGAAGAAGTAGGGGATCATAATTTCCATGATTTGTTGAGTCAGCAAAGTTTGTTATTATAATGTTTTCTTTTCTGTTTTGAGGGAGGTGAGTGTCGTATAGGATGGAGCTAGTTTTTTTTTTTTTTTGGAATACAGAGAGAGCTAGTTAAATAAAGGGGGATGAGTCTTGAAATTCATCTCTTGCGAATTTGGTACCAGTACTAGATATGGTATAATCCGGAAGCTAGTTGGTGGACCTTTTTAAAAGCATTTTTCAAGGAATTCCAACCGGAGGTTTGCTTGGAGGATGACGAGGCTGGATCAAATTGAACTTTGTCATAGATTTGGAGGCAGAGACGACACTATTGAAAGAGGAGGGGAGAATAATGCGGAAGAGGAAAATTCAAGGTTAGAAACGGAGATACAAATAAAATCCCCATTGGAGATGAAAGTAATACCAACGCTTCAATAACCAAAAACAGAGACTCTAAAAGAGAAAAGGTCAAGGTTTGGGAAAAGGAGGGTGTGGAGATGGAAACTATGGATGAGAGAGAGGAGTGGGCAATTCGACACATAAACCAGCGACACAACAGTCGACAACCAATGTAAATGACTCGCCACCAAAGTTGTTGGATCTGCACCTTCACAAAGGAGAGGACACGTCTTCATGATGCAGTCATGAGAGGAAGACGAAGATGCAAGAATTGGTTGCAATTGAGTGATGGCTACCTAGGTTAGGAAAGGAATGGCAGATGTTGGGCCATGTTACTGACGCAATGGGTTAGGCCGAAATTAGTCGCAAATCAGCTCAGTCCAGTCAAATTAATTTGGATCATGATGAATCGCTGCTCATTATGTTGGGAATAATGGATTACCCATTTCGTAGCTAGCCTCAAGTGGAAACAATCTCCTCAACAACAACCCTAGCATCGTCGCTAGCAAGGAGACCGCAAAACCTTAGAAGAGCAGAAGGAAATGGCAGCCTTGGACACAAGGGCGGTGGGATGCGATTTTTGCATGAGGAGATTTAGAAGAAGTAGCAGAATGATTTATTCTTCAGTTTTGACGAACCCAAACCACCAATGTAAGACTCATTTGTTCTAGTTGCTGATACCAGAGGAGAGGAGAGGAGAACAATAACAACGAAGAGAGGAAACCTTGCCATGGGGGGAGTTGGCAGAATAGGATGCAAGCAAAAGAGAAGAGAAAAGAATCTTGGTCAAGGATAGGATTGGGCCAATTTGTTTCGGGCAAATTTACTCGCGAGTTTGACAACCATGTCAAGAACTCATAGAAAGCATGAAGAACAGATAACTTCATTCAATATAAATAGGAAAGATTACATAAAGATTAATTCAGAAACATAAAATTCGATTGGGTTTCATCTAACCCTAATTACAAAGAAAACTAGCCAAACATGTGAAGCTTCCCCAAACTCCATTAATGTGATGGCGTGATGAATTTTCACAAATTCCAACGTAATCTTGTCTCTTACTTGTCTCTGGCTCTCAAAAGCATGAAAATCCGAGCAAATGTGCTTCCTCGATGTCAAAGGTGCTTTCCGGTGTCAAAAGATTTTAAAGAATGGCTTAAATATGTGAAGGTTTAGGTGAAATCCATGTCATGGGCCATGAATGGGTTGTAAATGGGCGCTCCTGTGCGCAAAAATGTGTCATTTTATGAATTGGAGCGTGCTACAGGGCACTCTGGGGCGCTGCAGCGCACTTTGGTAGCAAGCACACTGTTTCCTATTTTGGGCATAACTTGAGCTATACTCGTTCGATTAATGTGGCCTTGGTCTCGTTAGAAAGATAAAAGAAAGATCTACAACTTCTATGAAGAACACAAGATCCAAATCCATCATCTGTGATACGATAATTTGATTGGAAGACAAAATTAGGGAGATTTTCTCTAAATCATTGCTCTTCATTTATCGCTTTAAGTCCTTCTAGCTTAACTGTTGCTCCAATTCAACTCAATTGTCCTACAAAATTAGCAAAGATTAAACATATGTCAGAGGAACAAAGTTAACGCTTTTTAGCCAAATAAAAGTTTTCATGCTTTAGATTAGATTTAAGAGTGATTTTTGTCCTTAAAACATGATAAACTACGAGTTTATATGTACTTTAGATGGATCCAGTGTAGAAATTAGGGCGGAAATTGGTGAAGAGAATTTTTTCCTCTTTGGTGCCAAGGTGGAAGATGTCCGTCGACTGAGAAAGGAAAGAGAGAAGGTACTGATCATATATGATCCTTTGTTTGAAGAGATAAAAAAGTTTTTTTTTTTGAAGTGGGGTGTTTGGAAGCTATGACTATAGCCCCATTCTTGATTCTTTGGAAGGAAAACCTACTGAATGCCATTCTGACTACCTTTTTGTTTCATGGCTTCCCAAATTACATGGATGCTTAATGGGATATATTGGAGGAAGTAACTTTATTTCTTGCATAAAGACATGCCTACATTTCAAGCAATGGGACCCGGAGGATGATTCTTTTTGGATTGACCTTCACCTTAAGGACAAGGTGAAAGTTTTCGGAGGGAGTATTGTTAAGACCCCAAGCAACATTAAGGTTTATGATAGAAGAAGTAGGGGATCATAGCTTCCATGACTTGTTGAGTCAGCAAAGTTTGTTAGTATAATGTTTTCTTTTGTTTTTAAGGAGGTGAGTATCATATAGGACGGAGGTAGTCAAATAGAGGGGGATGGGTCTTGAAAGGCACCTCTTGGGAATTTGGGACTAGACTTGGAGAGTCCAGGGCCTCTACGGCTGTCCTGGGATTATTTCTTTTCTGTTTGTTTTACAACTTTCCATCGTCAGTATTTTATTTTTTCCTTTTATTGTAATTCACTGTCTCTGCTTCAAGAGTTGTAACTTGTAATAGAACCTACATGTTTCAGTTTGACAAGTCTTAATCAATATTAGTATTTTTCATTCCTCTGCTCTTTTCCTTGTTATTTTATCTGGTTCTTAACAGTGTCATTAACTTTTGTTAAAGTACCATAAGCTATTCTCACAACTTGTTTTCAGTAATTTTGAATAAAGTTACTAGAAGGGAGGCATTATTGGACTAATGGTCAGAAGCTCCCGAGTCAATAATACAATAATCCATGTATTGCATTTTCCAGTTTGAGCATGCAAGGCTGTTAGAGGATTACCTCGATGTGCTATCACACCAGTACATGTGTGTTTCTCTTGCCTGTGAGTTAATTATTTCTTAGATGATCTCCAATTGTTCCTTGCAAAACATGGCATGTTCAAGTGATGCAGTTGTCTCTTTTCCTCTATAGATACCATGAACCCTAACCAAGGTAGTCAATAGCAGCGCGACCTGTGCCGTTCGCGCGTAGCGCATCCTCGCCACCAAGAACCATGCCACACAACGCCAAAACACAATAGCGGCCATTGCGGCCACATTTGTGGTGACATCGCTGGTGAATTGCGGAAATGGTTGCGGGTATGGGCGAAATACAAATTTGCCCTTATTATAAAGCTGTAACAGAAAAATTTTAAGGGCATTATCGTTTTTTTGAGGCTTAACACTCTCTTTCTGCCTCTGTACGAACGCAAACAACTCGGCCTCCTTGCTCTCTCTCGCAAATGTTTGTTCTTCTTCACTAACAGAAACGAAACATCTCCCTCTGCCTTTCTATATATCTCTCTCTTGCGTGTGCTTACAGGTATTTTTTCTGGGTTCTGTTTATTCTTTATTTTATTTTCTGGCTTCTGTCGTAGCTTTTTATTTTTTTTATTTTTTATTCTAGATTCTATTTTTTTACGCTTCTGTTTTTTTTTGTCTGGCATTATTTTTTCTTGCCGATGTTTTTTTTCTGGCATCTGTTGTAACCTCTTTTTTTTTTTTTTTTTTTGATTCTATTTTTCTTAGTTGCCTCTTTTTCTTTTTTTTGTATAAGCCTCTGTTTTGTTTTTGGGGTTTTTTTTTCTGGGTTCTGGTTGTTCTTTCTTGCCTTTATTTTTTTGGTTGTTCTTTTTTTCCCATTTTTTTTTCTGGGTTTGGAACAATTCTTTATTATGAATGGATGTCTTTATTTTTGAGTATATATATGTGTGATATATCTAGGTTCTATTGATTCATTTCGCTATTTTTGCCATTTCCGCAACCGCAACCTGCGCTGAAGCTATAAGGTTTTTCAGGGTTGGCCGCAATAGGCCGCAATTCGTATTTGATAACTATGGGCCTATGGCTCTAAGTTCTTTCTCTTGGTTGCTAAGGTTTCCAGTTAGCAGGCATTCCACGTAACTTCTAACAAACCTTTTTGGTGTGACCTGTTTTATTGCAATGTAACACCATGGTTTACCATACCTCGGAGACATATTTGGAAGGCAGAGTTGCTCCTAACAAATGCAGAATGCTCTGATGCTTGTTCTATGCTTTCTATCCCATGAGTCAGTTACTGCTACTATTCCTCCCACTGTACTTCAATAATCATTTCCTTAGTTAGGGTAATCATGATCCTGCCTCTGGCTGCATCATAAACTTGGTTAAGGTCTAAGAGGAAGCTATCAATCCTATCCTATGCCACAATTTTCCTTTAAGTGGTTGCATCATGTTGCTAGCATTTCACCAAGTTCCTATAGTATTGAGTAACTCTTATCACCCTGCTTCAGATCCCTCAAGATACCTTTTATTTGGAACAAAGCAACAGTTTGTCTATCTTGGAATAGGACTCATGTAGCATCCCAAATTTCTTGACTGGCTTGGCCAGCATGCAAGTCTCCCCAATCTCCGTTGGCATGGAATTCGCAAGCTAGGATATCACCACATTGTTATAGGCTTTCTATGTATTGTATTTGGATGAGACTTGTTTGGTTGAATAGTTTCTCCAGTAAGGGAGTCTTCCTTTTGCGACCTCAAACATCTTAATACTATGGGACCACATCAGATAATTGGTCCCATAGGATCGGTGTCTTGTAATCATTAGAGGAGGATTGTCATAGCCATGTTAGTGGATGGGTGGATGCTTGGTTGGTTGTTGGAGGAGGATGGCGTTTGAGAGGTGTTGGAGGACGTCTCTTGAGATGTTGTTTGATCAGCACTCATGATGCCAAACTGGATCATGGATCCTCGCCCACACCTTTAGGAAATGACTCCTGATACCATGTAGAAAAATAGAGCACGGTTTATTCTGCTTTTTTTTATTTTCATGAAGATGGTAGATGCAATTTAAGAATGTTGGACATACGCAGATCAGGCTGATCAAATCCGACAAAACCGGCAATTGAAAAACAGAGTCATCCAAACAAAGTAAACCAAATATTTAAGGTTGACTGAATGATTGGCATAGTCAAACTAAACAAGGAAACAAATAAAAGGAATAAAGTTGATATCTGAATGTCAATCACACGGAAAATCACAGGACACTAACAACAATACTTATTTGATTATGTTATCGCAGGTATTTGTTGGCAGAGGCAGGAGACACATTATTTGCTTCCTTTATAGGAACAAAGCAGTACAAGTGAGTTTCTCAGGTTTCTTTTGTGTAAGCCTTCAAAATCATTACAACTTCAAGAATATGATTTTTTTTTTTTTTAACTTTTTATTTTGCTGAAAGGGATGTAATTGCTGATGCAAATATACTTCAAGGTGCAATCTTTCATGAGGATGCTAGTGAGGAATCTGAAGGAGATGCAGCAACTGAATCTGATAAGGGTGAAAACAAAAATGGAAAAGAATATATGTGGAATCCTCTAGAATCAAGGTCTAAACAACGGAATAGTAAATACAAACCTGCTGCTCATAGGGTAAATAAGCTTGTTCTCCATCATATATTTATTTGGTTAAATTAATTGGTAGATCTTATACTTTTTGGGATGTATCAAATAGGGCTCTATAGTTTAAAAAGTTGAAATTGGGTCTTAGTAGTCTCAAAAAGTTTTTTTGTAGGGTCCATGAATCCAGCCTGCTGTTTGTTAATATATATATATATATATATATATATATATATATATGGGGCAGGATATTCTTACACTAGTGTAAGAATAACAAGTCTTGCACCAAATTTTGATCATTGATTTGCTTACATCTAACGGCTCAAATATCTGATAAATCAAAACCATTAGATATAAATAGGATCAACGATCAAGATTGAGAGGGATCTTTTGACTCCGGTGTAAGACTTAGAAGTCTTACTCCTTATCTCAGTCGTTGATTTTCGTCCATCTAATGATTATTATTTATTTGAAATTAATAATTAATTGATTGGTATAACTCAATAAACTATAACTGTTAGATGGATGGAAATCAAAGGTTAAGATGAGGAGTAAGACTTCTAAGTCTTACACCGGAGTCAAAAGATCCCTTCCCAACACTGTAATCCCAAATTAGTCGGGGTCGATGACAGATGAACCTAAATGAAAAGTATGAAAAAATTGAGGGAAAAAAAGATAGAAATAAAATTAAAAGAATTATAAATAACATTAGAAATAAAAACATAGCAATAAACAATTCAAAAGAAGAATAAGATAGAATAAAAATATTTCTCTCTCTCTCTCTCTCTCTCTCTATATATATATATATATATATATATATATATATATATATATATATATATGCACGGCTTGTTCCAAGCCAGGGTAAAGGAGGAAAGTTGGCATCAGGTGTAGCGAGCAGACCGTAAAAGAAAATAGCTATCTATATGAGATGAATCCTTACGATTTTTTGTTGAAGCGAACATCTCATTAGGGATGCATTGCATTGGACCTCAAGCGTAGTGAAAATTAGGCTAGGGTTCTTGTTTCAAGGCAAGACTTTGCATCAGACCCTTCGTGTAGTGAAGTAGGCAAAGGGCCACATCTTCACCCGGATTTGGTGACCAGTATGTCTAGCTCCTAGCACGCAAATGGGTGAATGTGGTAGGCAAGAAATCCCTAGGGGCTAAGTATGCGATTGGGAAGCTATAAAATAGGAAGCTTAAGGGGAAAGTTGAAGGAGTTTGCAAATGTTTTTGCTAGAAGAAAAGTGAATATTGCTTACTTGCAAGAGACTATGTATGTTGAAGAAAAGGCTAAGGAAGTGGAAGGTATTGGTTTCAAGTTGTGGTACATAAGTATAAATAAGAGTAAAAATGGAGATAGGGTTATGATCGATAAAAGTTTCATAGACAAGGTTGTTGACGTCAGAAGAAAAGGCGACAAAATTATTTTGGTTAAGTTTATAGTGGGTGATTTAATTTTGAATATCCTTTTGCAATTATCGAAAATAACCAATTTTGGAAAAATTTGGAGGAGATTTTGCGAGGGATACCACGATAGGAGAAGATTTTCATAAAAGGAGATCTAAATGGACATGTTGGTAGAAACAATAGAAGTTTTAATAGAACTCATGGAGGTTATGGCTATGGGACCAGAAATGAGGCTGGAAAATATCTCTTGAACGTTGCATTAGCTTATGATTTGATGCTAGCGAGCACCTTTTTTTGGAAAAGAGAGTCATACTTAATTACTTATCGCAACGGCCAAAATTATAGCCAGATTGATTTCTTTCTTGCTAGAAGAGAAGATAGAACCTCATATGTTGAGTGTAAAGTACCTTGGAGAGTGTGTAGCTACGCAACATAAGTTGGTAATTCTAGAGGTTCTGTTAGACAAAGTACATAAAATGCAGAAGAGTGCTCAGAATCCATGAAAAAGATGGTGCAAGATAAAGGAGGAAAAACGAAAAGTGTTTAGGAAAAGAATACTTCATGAAGGACTATAGCAGTTTGATGGGGAAATAAATAAAATGGGGAACGAGATTGTTATGTGTATCCAAAAAGTGGGAAGAGGGTGTTAGGGGAAAACAAAGGGAATTGATTTCAAACAAGGGAAACTGATGCACTTATAGTTGGCCCATTGTACATGGCCCAACCATTGATTCAAGAAACTCGTAGTCAACTAGAGTTGTGGCTCAATAAGTATGGCCCAATTGTTGAAAGAGGCAATGATTTGAAATATAACAAATTACAATCGAATCCAAGTCTAAGTAAAGCAGCAGATGTGATTGTGATTTGTTTGGAAAGAAAAGGAAAGCAACATATTTGGTGTGATTTGAGATTAAAGATTTGGGATGTATTTTGAATTATTTATTTGTAATTTTTATTTATTTTTAGATGTCAATTACTTTTATTTATTTTAGGAAGTTTTATTATTTTTAGAATTTTAGATTTTTGAATTTTGAATCAATTTGTAATTAGTGTATAAAAGGGTGCTTACGACCCTTATTCTAGGAGTTGAATATTTTGTTAATTTGATAATTATAATTGAGAACCGGATGGTTACTTTTTTGTGAAATCCTAACTTTCTGTTTAGCCACTTTTCTATGCGCTTTCGACATCAGAAACTTGGTAGTGGAATGAAGAGGTGCACGAGGCAATCAAACAGTAGAAGGACTACTTTAGATGTTTGCATAATGTCCTAATGATGAGAACTTGCAAAACTTTAGATTGGCCAAAAAAATGCTAAAAAAGCAGTATGAAAGGCAAGAGGCAAGGTTTTCTTCGAATTGTATAAAAATCTTAGGAGTAAGGGTGGTGAAAAATGTATCTGTAAAATTGAAAAGATAAAGGATAAGAAAAATAAAAACTTGACCCAGGTTAGAGCATCATGGATGAAAATAAAAATCTGTTGATAAAAGATACATAAGTTAAAGAAAAGTGGATGAAATACTTTAACGGGGATAGCGATAAAAGCGTGGTGGATTTGGAGGACACTTGTGATGATTTGAACAAAAGCTTTGTGCATAGAATCAAAGCCAATGAAGTTAAGGAAACATTAAAGAAAATAAAGACTAGTAAAGCTTTGGGAACCAATGATGCCTCTATTGAAGTGTGAAGAGGCTTAGGGGATGTGGCTATAAGTTGGTTGACCAATCTTTTCTATAAGATTCTTCAATTTAATAAGATGCTTGATGTATGGAAAAAAGTATGCTTGTGCCTATTTACAAAAATAAGGGAAATATCCAGAATTGTTCTAATTATAGAGGCATTAAGCTTATGAGCCATATTAAGAAGCTGTGAGAGAGAGTTCTTGAATATCGCTTGATAAGAGAGACCAAAGTCTCTATAAATAAATTTGGGTTTATGCCAAAAAGATGTACCATGGAGGCTATTCTCTTGATACGACAATTAATGGAAAGATATAAAGAAAAGATTAAGGATCTATAGATCTTGAGAAAATATATGATATTGTTCCAAGGATTTACATATGGTATTTATAGATCTTGACCAAAGCGTATGAGGGTTGGTTTTTGAGAAAAAAAGAAAAGTACCATCAAAGTATGTAGAGACAATTAATGATATATATAATAGTGTTACTACATATGTGTAGGCTTGTAATGGAACATCACGGTTGTTGTACACCAAGGCTCTGCTTTGAGTCCTTATTTTTTTACTTTAGTTATGGTTGAACTGAAAAAAGATATCCAAGATTAAGTTTCATGGTGTAAGCTATTTGCAGATGATATTTTGCTTATTGATGAGACCAAGACTGATGTTAATAGAAAACTAGAATTGTGAAGAAGCATGTTGGAGTCTAAAAGATTTATGCCAAGTCGGTACAAGACTGAGTATATGAAGTGTGAGTTTGCTCTGACAAGAGATGGATATCAAGTTTTCGTACACTTGCTCGGGCAAGAGATACTCAAAAAAGATGCTTTCGGACATCTGGGATCAATTTTGCAAAATGGTGGAGAGATTTATAAAGATGTAAATTATAGAATCAGAGAAAAGATTGATAAAATAACATAGTGCATCAGGGTTTTTATGTAATTGCCAAATTTGTCTTAAGTTAAAAGGAAAGTTCTATAAAATAACAGTAAGGCCTACAATGTTAAATGGGGCTGAATGTTGGCTAGCATCTAGGCATCATGAACTTAAAATGAGAGTAGTGAAATTGAGGATGTTAAGGTGGATTTGTAGTCATACAAGTATAAATAAGATAAGAAATGAAGATATTTGACGAAAGGTATGAGTAGTACTGGTGGTTGAAAAGATGAGAGAACTTAGATTGAGGTGATTTTGGCACATGATGCGAAGACCCCTAGATACTCTCATAAGAACAAAAGTTTATTACCTAAAGCTTGAGACATAATGAGGAAAAGGTTGACCGAAACTTACTTAAGGAAAGTTAGTAAAACAAGATTTAATGGAGTGAGATATAGATTGACGGAAAATATGTTTTAGGACGGATTGAAAGAAAGCTATTGAAATCGTGGAGGGTTAGACCCATTTTCTTGCAGTGCTCCAAATGGTCATTTTTTAGTCCTTTTCCCCTATATCTCCCTTTATTTCTTTCTGTTAGAATAGTTGTAAAAATAGTTCAGTATATATATAGTCCCACATCGTATGAGCTCAACCTATTAGGTCTTTTAGTCTCTTTAAATAGAGAGCTCTTGTACATTGTAATACACCATGTGATTATTCAATATACAATTATTCTTTAATCTCAAGTTGGTACCAGAGCTATTTCGTTCTAGGAACCCTCGCTTCCGCTTAGAAATCTTGTTCTTCGCTTTAAAACCTAAGCCCACTGCTTAGGAGTCATCTTTTCTTTGCCGTGCGTCCTTCCGGCAAGCCATCAAGGACTGTAAGTGGAGCCACCGTCAGTCCTTTTCCCCAAACAGTCACCGGAGCCACCGTCAGCCACTGTTCAGGCTGCCAGAGTACTTTTCCGGCTAGATTTCAGTCTGGAACGAACGCGAACAACACCCTCTCCTCCCGGCGACCTGCTCTGTGGAAGTCCGGCCACCATCGGAGTTGTCACGCGCTCTCACGCGCCTCCTGTCTTCTCTGCGCGTGGGCTTCACGCGCCACCTTCTGCCGACGCGTGATCACTATTCCGGCGGCTTTTTCCGGCCGTTCTTGGACAGAACTTCTCGCCTTCTTCTCCTCTTTCCGGATCTGTGCTTGGTTCTTTGTGGGTCTCACTTTAGACGCGTGCTTCTCCTCGATTGGATATCGTTTGCCTTCGTTTACGACTTTTATATTCTGTTTTTAAATGGCAGCAGCGTCTACTGATCTCTCGGAGGTTAACTCTCCTTGTCCTCCTGTCAAAACTTCCTCAGGAATCATCTCTACTAATATTGGGCCCATTACATCTTCCAAACTGAAGGATTCTACCTCTCTTGCTGCGAATATAGCTCAGTCAGACAATGCATCATTTGGTTCAGTTTCTCTCTCATTTGGTTCAGTTTCTCTTCTCAAGAAGGCTTCTCCTCAGTCTCAACCATATACTGGTAATCCCATTGCTTGTGTTTCTCATTCTACATCACTTGGCACTTGGATATTTGACTCAGGTGCTACCGATCATCTCTATGGTAACAAGGAACTCTTTACATCTCTTACTTATTCTGATCATTTACCTTCTTTTACCGTTGCGGATGGAACCAAAGCCCCAGTTCGTGGGATTGGACAAGCTCGTCCGACCTCTACCTTGGCCTTGACATTTGTTTATTACATTCCTGGCATCCCTTATAACTTAAATTCTATTAGTAAGTTGATCCACTCCCTCACTTGCACCATTACTTTCTCTAACCATTCTGTTTCTGTGCAGGATCCGGGTACGGGGGAAATGATTGGAGTGGGTCGTGAGTCGCAGGGGCTTTACTATCTGGATGTGCCTCGTCCTTCAGTGGCACTCTCTCTCACAGAATCTCCACAACTTATCCACAGTCGCCTCGATCATCCAAGTCTTTCAAAGTTGCAGAAAATGGTTCCTCTTTTATCCGGTCTTCAGTCTTTAGATTGTGTGTCATGTCAACAAGGGAAGCATACACGTTCCTCTTTTGCCAGTCGAGTCAATAAACGAGCTGATGCCCCTTTCTCTCTTGTTCATTCAGATATCTGGGGTCCAAGTCGTACCTTGTCTGTTTTAGGTTTTCGGTATTTCGTTACCTTCATTGATGATTTTTCCCGTTGCACTTGGGTCTATTTAATGAAAAATCGTTCTGAGTTATTTTCCATTTATAAAAAGTTTTATACTGAGATTCATACTCAATTTGGTGTTTCTATTCGTATTCTACGTAGTGATAATGCTAAGGAATATGTTTCTATTGATTTTTCTAATTTCTTGGCCACACAAGGTACTTTACATCAAACTACTTGTCCTCACACTCCACAACAAAATGGGGTGGCTGAACGTAAAAACAGACATCTCATTGAAACTGCACGTACCCTTCTTCTTCATATGCAGGTTCCCCTTCACTTCTGGGCAGATGCTGTACTCATCTCTTGTTTTCTCATCAATCGCATGCCCTCATCTGTGCTCAACAATGACATTCCTCATAACCTATTGCTTCCAGATGTTCTTCTTTATCCTCTAACTCCACATGTCTTTGGTTGTACTTGTTTTGTTCATGATCTCACTCCTGGTAAGGATAAGTTAACATCCAAAGCCTTTCAGTGTATCTTTCTTGGTTATTCTCGTCTTCAAAAGGGTTATCGTTGTTATTCTCCCGATCTTAAGCGTTACTTAGTTTCCGCTGATGTCACTTTTCTTGATCAACAACCCTTTAATTCTATTCCATCTCAGTTGTCACAGGTTGATCATGTTCTTCCTGTCCCTTTTCTTGACTTGTCTTTGCCAGCTGCAGGTGCTTCTATTCCAAATGAGCAACCTATTGCTTCTATACCTGAGGATCGTCCACTTCTCACTTATCAGCGTCGCAAAACTGTGCCTCCTGTCGACTCGACTCTTGCTGACTCATCGCCCACTACTGTTGCTTCTTCCTCTCCGGATCCTTCACCAGAGACTCTTCCCATTGCTCAAAGAAAAGGTACACGTACTACTCGTAACCCTTATCCTCTTTATACTTTTTTGAGCTATGACCGTCTTTCTTCACCTCATTTCACCTTTGTTTCTAGTCTTTCTTTCTTCTTTCTATTCCTAAGACCACAGGTGAAGCACTTTCCCATCCAGGGTGGCGCCAAGCGATGCTTGATGAGATGACTGCACTTCATTCCAATGGCACTTGGGACCTTGTTTCTGCTCCTCCAGAGAAGTCTACAGTTGGTTGTCGCTGGGTGTTTACTGTGAAAGTTGGACCTGATGGCCATGTTGATCGACTCAAGGCCCGCCTAGTTGCAAAGGGTTTTACTCAAATATTCGGCCTTGATTATAGCGATACATTCTCTCCGGTCGCTAAGATGGCGTCAGTTCGCCTATTTCTTGCTCTTGCTGCTATTCGTCACTGGCCACTCCTTCAACTTGACATCAAAAATGCCTTTCTTCATGGTGATTTACAAGAAGAAGTTTATATGGAGCAACCACCGGGTTTTGTTGCTCAGGGGGAGTCTGGGAAGGTGTGTCGTCTTCGCAAATCCTTATATGGTCTCAAGCAGTCTCCTCGGGCATGGTTCAGTCGCTTCAGTTCTGCTGTTCAGGAGTTTGGCTTAATTCGCAGTAAAGTTGACCACTCTGTGTTTTATAGGATCACATCTCCTGATAAGTGCATCTATTTGTTAGTCTATGTTGATGACATCATCCTCACCGGGAGTGATCAAGCTGGAATTTGTCAGTTAAAACAGTATTTATTCAGTCAATTTCAGACAAAGGACCTCGGGAAGCTGCGTTACTTCTTGGGAATTGAGGTAGCACAATCTAGACAGGGCATTTCTATCTGTCAAAGGAAGTATGCCTTGGATATCCTAGAAGAGACTGGTATGTTGGCGTGTAAGCCAGTTGACACACCCATGGATCCTACTATCAAATTACTACCCGGACAAGGAGAACCATTATCTGATCCTGGACGTTATCGGAGGTTGATTGGGAAGCTCAATTATCTCACTGTGACTAGGCCGGACATTTCTTTTGCTGTTAGTGTCGCTAGTCAGTTTCTTGATTCTCCGTGTGATTCTCATTGGGATGCTGCTGTTAGGATCCTTCGTTACATCAAAGGAGCACCAGGGAAAGGTTTATTATATTCAGATCAGGGAAATACAGAAATTTGTGGTTATTCAGATGCCGATTGGGCAGGATCACCCTCGGATAGGCGCTCTACTTCAGGCTATTGTGTTTTCTTTGGAGGAAACCTGATTTCTTGGAAAAGTAAGAAACAAACTGTTGTTGCCCGATCTAGTGCAGAGGCGGAGTATCGTGCAATGAGAATAATTGTAAAAATAGTTCAGTATATATATAGTCCCACATCGTATGAGCTCAACCTATTAGGTCTTTTTGTCTCTTTAAATAGAGAGCTCTTGTACATTGTAATACACCATGTGATTATTCAATATACAATTATTCTTTAATCTCAAGTCTTTCTTTACGTATTGTTTTTTCCGCTTTATATTTTTCCTCTTATTTATTTATTTTTTGGTTTAATTTTTGTTATTTTTTTTTTCACTTTGGTCTTTTTCTTTTTTCTTCTATGTATTTTTTTCTTTTATTTATCTTTATTTTATTATTTTGATTGTTTATTGCTGCTTTAATTTCCTCTATTATATTTATATTTATATATATATATATATATATATATATATATATATATATATATATAAGGGTCCCATTAAAAGTAAGTGGGTCTGATTAATATTGTCTCTCTCTTCTCTTTATAATGGAGCCCACTCACTTATAGATGGAAAGTATAAGGACCAAATTACAGCTTTTTAACAATAAGGACTTATTTCAAAAATTCTAAAAGTAAGGAAAATTATAGATTAAATTTACCATTTTAATATTTTTTTGATTGTTGCTGCTTTATATGGTAAATTTATAGTAGTTTAATCACCATGAATATCTTTTCTTTTTTCATTTCTTAATTTTTCAATTATTAACTCTTTATTTCAATCAATAATATAATTTCAACCTTAGTTCTGGATATTTTGCGATATATCAACATCACTTACGTAAATATTGTCTCATGTTTCCAATAATTTCCGTCACATTACTTCTCAGGGTTTCATGGCTCGTGCTAAAGGAATACCTGCTTTAGAATTGTATAGGCTTGCTCAAAAGAAGAAACGCAAGCTTGTTTTATGTGGCCATTCACTTGGTGGAGCAGTGAGTTTGATTCTTTCATCCGGCTTTCAAACCATTACTTTCAATGTGTATTTAAAGAATTTGCATATACTGAGTTCCTCGTATTCTACACAGGTTGCTGCATTAGCTACTCTTGCCATTTTGAGAGTAATTGCTGCTTCATCGTCATCAAAGGAAAATGAGAATGTCCCTATTAAATGTATTACATTTTCTCAACCTGCAGTTGGAAATGCTGCTTTGAAGGAGTAAGTTTTCATTGTATTTCTTTTCTCCTACTCTAAATTGGTTAGTTGCCGGTCCTTTTTTCAAACATGAAAAACTAGTATATTTATTATTTCTTTTCCTTTTATTGTTTTTCTGTACAGCTATGTTAATAGAAAAGGTTGGCAGCATTATTTCAAGAGTTACTGCATCCCGGAGGATTTGGTTCCCCGTATTTTATCTCCTGCTTATTTTCACCATTATAATGCTCAGCCACCGCCAATGCCTTCTGAAAATGCAACTAACAAATTGTTGGGTAAACATGATCAAGAGGTAAGGAAGCCGAAAGAGAATGATGGAGAGCAATTGGTTTTGGGGGTAGGTCCTGTGCAGAGATCCTTCTGGAGACTCTCAAGGCTAGTTCCTTTACAAGGGTTACGAAGACAATTTAGCAAACACCTAGAAGGACGAATTAGTTCTGTTGAAACAAATTCATTGCGTGATTCTCTTGCTAATACTTTGATTGAGGAGGACGTGGTTGAAGCACAGTCACTTGAAATACAAGAGGGTTCTGATGGCATATCACTCGAGCCTTTTCCGGAAACTGATAAAGAATCATCGGAGGTGACAGCAAATGGGAAAACAGCTACAAAGAGCAATGCCATGACTGTAGATCAAGAGAAATGGCACAGAGTGCCTTATTTACCTTCATATGTGCCATTCGGACAGGTAGATATTGTGGACTCATGATACGTTTCAGCTTTCTTTTGCAGTCACCAAAAATGCTTTATTTTTTTATTTTTTTAACAGTTTAATGGTGTTTTACTCTTGCATGTTATTGTTAAAGGCTGATTGATTTGTCCTCAAATATGAATTGTATGATGATCTTCTTATGTTGGTTTTAGTATTGTTTGGGTTGTTTTTTCCTGTGATTTTATCATCCAGTGTTTTATCATTTTCATGACCAACATGAAAGTAATCCGATTTACATGTGATACAATCGGAGGGACAAATATTGTTAATTGCTGGATTCTTGAAAGTCCCTGTACTACGGCTTTCCTGTTTGTGAATTCCGGGCAGTTAATTAATTTGTAAAATTAATCAATTACCAGCCAAACTATGATTAGATTAGACCTTAATTATAACAAGATAACATATGTGATTGTTTCTTGGTTGAAACACAGTAATTTTAAAGTCAGCCATAAATAAAATTCCACTACATGTACAACACACTCATTCATTCTTTGTTTTCATTCCTCTGCATGATATTCATTCTGCTTTTCTCTGTTTATGGATGATGTCTTATTCTCCAACCTCGAACACCTCTTACAAATAAGGTATTCTCTTACTAAAAACAGTGTAGTAGACTCTCATTTAGCTCAAATATTTCTTAAGTTATCCTTTATCTAATTCAGAAAAGTTGTTTTCCTAAAGAGAAAAATAGGACGTTGTATCATGTGAGCTATCTCATGCATTCCCAAGGAAAGGATAAAAGTGTTCATGTTCACTAAAACCTCCTTTTGACAGTGATTTGTTGGCTTAGTATTTAAGGTTTAATACTAATGATTAAGGCATTGGATTTTATAGTCAATATCTACCAGATTTCTTATTTTGTTTATTTGCCTATGCAATATCTTTAAATGAATAAGATACAAAAAAAAAGGTGTAAAATGACCCAAAACCTGCTATTTTTCCTCCATAAATGCACAATCTTCTTCAATTTATTTTTATAAGCTCTCCATGCTTTATTTCCATTAATATTAAATTTTGAACTCATCATAACCTGTTTCATGTAAAGCAGCTTTATTTGCTGGAAAATTCCTCTGTAGAGTCATTATCAGGAGCAGAGTACTCAAAGTTGACATCGGTATGAGTTTCTTTTCATTTCTTATGAATATTTGATATAGTTCCACTCTCCCTTTTGGGCTAAAGATTTATCGTCCAACCATATCATATTTACGAATATAGTAGTGTAAGTTCTCTCATTTTGTTTGCTTTCTTCTGGCAAAGACATTTTCAGGTCAGATCAGTTATTGCTGAATTGAGGGAAAGATTTCAATCGCATTCAATGAAATCATATCGGTCTCGATTTCAGAGGTGATTATGTTAACTATATTGTTAGAATGTATATATTAAATTGTGTTAGTTTGTCTCACATCATGTAAATATGGCTCAAGCCCATATATCATATTATTATAAATATAAACCTAGTGTGGTCATACTAGACACACAATTCCTGAAATTTACGTTCTAGAAAACCTTAATTATCCGAAACCCTAACCCTGCTTCTGGGAAACTCTAACCGTACTTCTGCAAAACCCTAATTTCGCTAGGCTCACTGCCTCAAGGCCATCTCCTTGTCATGCGTCTTACCGGCAAGCAATCCTTGTCGTGCATCCTACCGGCAGCCTCCTTAACCATTAGCCACTACTCGGTTGATGTTCGATCGTCTCCAGCAACCAATTGCCGTCCATCTTGCGGTGACTTTTTCGACAACATTTTCAGAAAAACACTTTAGCAATCACAACCACATCCTTAGGGTAGTTCATTTTGTATTGGCGGTGCCCCCATCGAAGCTCCAATGTGCCCACACGCATCAGTAAACCATCACTACATAGATTTCTTCCACGCGCGTGTGGCGGTGCATGGACATGCCTCCCTCAGACTTCTAGCTATAGATTAGGTCTCCTTCCCATATAGGCGCCAGAACCGTTTAGTTCTAGCTGTGGGTCCTCTGTTTGCGGGAGTTTTTCACCCTCTTTGGTGTTTTTCACCTTTTTTTTGTGTTTTGTATGTCCGTTTTTTACCTTTTCATGCCTGTGATCCACTACGATGGGAAACCATTATCTTGTCTCATGTGGTAGTGGCTGCAATACTAATAGAACTTGATGTTCTTTCTGTCATAAATTAGGACAATATTGAGGAACATTATAGGGCGAAACATCATAAGCCTACATCCACTACTCTTGCACACATAGAGCTAACATCCTCTGCTTTTGTTGTGGATATTCCAGTTGTAAACCGTGAAGTTTTCCTTCATTCTAAGGCCACCTTAAGAACTGGTAATATAATTGCTTGCACCTCTAAACCATCTCTTGGACCATGGACAATTGACAGTAGTGCTTCCAATCATCTCTATGGCAATAAAGATCTTCTATCCCTTTTACGTATTCAAACAATTTACCTCTGGTCATCCTTGCTGACGGCATAAGACAATTGGTCACGGAATTGGACAAGAACAACCATGTCCGTCTTTACCTTTAACCTTAATTCTTTATGTTGGCTGACCTTTTAATTTAATATCTATCAATCAACTCACTCATTCTCTTCATTATTCCATTTTCTTTAATCCAAAATCTATTCTTGTGCAGAATCCCGGTACGGGAAGGACAATTGAAGTTGGTAGTGAGTCATGCGACCTTTACTATCTTGTTGTGCTTAGTTTCCCATTGATATGTACCATAACAGTTTCTCCTGACCTCATTCACAGTCATCTTGGACATCTTAATCTATCCAAACTCTAGCAGATGGTCCTTCATCTATCTCGTTTTCAGACTTTGGATTATGAGTCTTGTTAAAAAGGGAAACACACACATTCTTCCTTTTTTAATCATGACAACAAAATGGTAGAGGTTCCCTTCTCTCTTGTCCATTCGGATATTTGGGGTCAATTCTAGTTTAGGATTTCATATATATTGTGACCTTTATTGATTATTACTCTTGCTACACCTAGGTTTTCTTGATGAAGAATCGTTTTGAATTGTTTCTCATTTATCAGAAGTTTTTGTGCAGAATTTTGTACCCAATTTGGAACCACTATTCGTGTTTTACATAATGACAATGCACTAAAATTATGGCCTCTGATCTGCAGGAATTCTTGACTCAACAGGGTTCCTTACATCAGATTACCTGTCTTCAAACTCTGTAACGAATGGCGTGGTTGAACGCAATAACTGACACCTTGTTGAAACAACTAGAACTCTACTCCTGCATATGAATGTTCCTCTTCACTTTTGGGGGGATGTTGTTTTTACATCTTGTTATCCACCATATGCCTTCCTCTGTGTTGGACATTGAAACTTCTCATCATATTTTGTTTTCTGATGCTCCTGTGTATTTGGTGCCTCTTCATGTTTTTTGTTGCATATGTTTTGTTCACAATCTCAGTCTAGGGGAAGAAAAGCTCACAACTAAAGCCTTCGTGTGCCTCTTTCTTTGTTATTCATGTCTATAGAAGGGGTTATCATTGCCACTCCCCAGACCTCCAATGTTATATTGTATTTGCCTATGCCACTTTTTTTTTTTATCAGCGACCTTTCTCTTCTTCAACAACTAAGGTCTTTGTGGTTGACATTATCCTCATTCCTTTCTTTGATCTTCTGTCCATAGGTGTCTTTGGTCCTACGCTTGCCCCTTCATCATCTTGTCTACCAATCACTTATTAGCGATGCCATTGGCCATCCATTGGTGTCAACCCCATATTAGAAGATGCTCTTGGTGACTTATTGCCTTCACTTATCATTCCATCTGCCCCGGCTCCTGCATTAGACAATTTGCCTATTGCCCTCCATATAGGTATCCTCTCTACTAGCAATTCTTATTCTCTTTATGTCTTTGTGAGTTATAATCGACTTTCATCACAACATTTTATCTTTGTTTCGATTATTTCTTCTGTTTCTATTCCTAAGACCATGGATGAAACACTTTAACATCCAGGTTGGTGCCAAACGATAATTGATAAGACGATTGCTTTACATTCAAATTACAGATGAGATTTTGTTTTTGCTCCTCCGAAAAAATTTGTTGTTAGATACTGCTTGGTGTTCACAATTAAAGTCAATTTAGAGGGCACTATTGGTCACCTCAAAGCACATTTAGAGCCAAGGGATACACTCAAATTTTCAGACTTGATTTTGGATATACCTTCTCTCCTGTAGCCAAGATGGCCAACGTCTGCCTGTTTCCTGCTTTGTCTGCATCCACTGCTGGCCCCTTTTTCAGCTTGATATTAAACAAGCCTTCTTACGTGGTGATTTGCAAGAAGTTTACATGGAGAAACCACCCGGATTTGTTGCCCCAGGGGGAGTCTGGGTTGGTGTGCAAACTATGCGTATCCTTATATGACTTGAAGCAGTAACCTTGACCTTGGTTTAGTCATTACAATGCAGTTGCTCAAGCTTTTAGTTTAACTCATACCGAAATTGATCACTTTGTATTCTATCAGCATAGTTCTCCTGGTCAATGCATCTATCTGCTAGTCTACATAGATTGCATTATCATCACTGACAATGATTGTGTTGGGATTGAACAACTGAAATAGTATTTGTTTAGTTAATTTTTTACCAAAGATCTTGGCATGCTCCTGTATTTCATAGGCATTGAGATGGCACAATCTAGACATATCTCAATCTCTCAGAGGAAAGATACCTTGGATATTTTGGAGGAAACTGACATGTTGAGGTGTATGTCCATCGACACACCCATGGATCCCAATGTCAAACTTCTACCTTGATAGCGGGAGCCACTTTACATATCCTTGCCCTTATAGAAGACTAATCGGGAAGTTGAATTATCTTATTGCAACGAAATTGGATATTTCTTTTGCAGTTAGTGTAGCCAACCAATTCCTTGACTCTCCTTGTGTTTCCCACCGGGACACAATTGTTAGAATTCTTTGATACATCAAAAGGGCACTAGGATAAAGCTTATTTTATAAAGATAAAGGGCATGTTGATATTTGTGGCTACTTAGATGCTAATATAGCAGGCTCTTCTTCAGATAGATGTTCCACCTTACGTTATTGTGTCCTTTTAAAGGGAAATATGATTTATTGAAAAAGTAAAAAGCAAACCGTGGTACCCAAATCGAGTGTAGAAGCTGAGTATCAAGCAATGAGAACTGCAACCTGTGAGCTTATTAGGTTAAAGCAATTAAAGAACTAAGTCTCTGTGAACAATGTCAAATGAAATTAACTTGTGACAATCAGACAACATTACACATATCCTCCAATTGAATTTTTCATGAGAGGACCAAGCATATCGAAATTGATTATCATTTTATCCGAGAGAAGATTTAGTCCGAAGATATCGAGGCAACATTCGTCAACTCCAGTGATCAGCTTGCAGATTTTTTCACTAATGCTCGTAGGGGTCATCGGGTTCACTATAGTTTTAACAAGTTGGGTGTGTACGATATATATGCACCAGTTTGAGGGAGTGTTAGAATGTATATATTAAGTTATGTTAGTTTGTCACACATCATGTAAATAGAGCCCAAGCCCATGTATCTTATTGTTATAAATATAACCCTTGTGTGGTCATACCAAACATACAATTCCTCAAATTCAAGCTATATGTTATATATAATAAAAGTTGTGCTTATCAACATCAATACACCTTAATCCCAAACTAGTTGGAGTCGGCAATTAATGAATTGAAATGAAGCAAGAACATATTAAGAAAGCAAAAATAATAAATAATAAAGAAAATATAAAATAACAATAAATTAAAAATAAATAAACAAAGCATAGAAAAATATACCATTTCGCATTGCAAATAGCTTTCCTCCACTCCATCTTAAGACAAACTGCATACCAGTCTATTTCCCACTTCATTAAGTTTTGTTTTACTTTTACTATTTTCCCTTATGTAAGTTTTGGCCGACTTTTTCCTTTCTTTATGTCATGCTCTCAGAAACAAACTTCTTTTTATACTGGAGCATCTAGGGTCTTTGAAGAACATGCCCAAACTATCTCAATCTATACAAGTTGTGCTTATATAGTTTCCAAAATTATTACACACTTAAATGACTGTATGCTCACATTTTCAAGTCCAATTCATGTCCTAAATAGTTTGTCTATCCTGTTGTATAGATTTTCAGAGTTTCCGCCCCCTCCTAGCTCCTTGAATCCCAACCTAGTGGGATAAGGATTGGTTGTTGAAGCTTCTGATAGGACTTTTATACATAATTGATTGAATTATTGAATGTTTCAAATAGGAATAATCGTTTTTCTTTCCCCTGTTCTGGTTGCAGAATTTATGACTTGTGTATGAGTGATAATACATCAGCTTTCTTAGGGATTGATCAATGGCAACAGTTTCCTCATCTACAGCAATGGCTTGGCCTTGCAGCTGCAGGGACTGTGAAGCTTGGGCATATAGTAGAGTCTCCTGTTATTCGTACTGCAACTTCAATTGTTCCTCTGGGATGGAATGGTGGGCCTGGAGCAAAAAATGGAGAACCTCTGAAAGTTGATATTACGGGTTTTGGGTTGCATCTCTGTACACTCGTTCATGCTCAAGTGAATGGTAACTGGTATTGTCACTTCCCCGTGAGACATCATCATTTATTGGTTTAGTTTTCTTTTAATTAAGGTTCTAGGACTAATTAAATCTGTTTAGACTTGTGGCGGTAGTAGTTGGGGTAGGCCAGAGCAGAGTCACTAATGGTCAGAATGGTTAAGTTATATTGACAGGGACCGTTAAATCACTAGAAAATATCAAGCTTTTTCATATTTCATGAACAGATGGTGAGAGAAGCAGAGGAGTACATTTAGCTAGCACTCATTTATGGATTCTAAACATAGGTATCATCCTCGAACTTCAACAACATCTATATGACTAAAGAAAGGAGATTCCCCTATTTTTTATTTGAGTTTTTCTTTTTTAAAACCCCAGTACTTTAATTGAAAAGAGTGGAGAAGATAATTGTCAGAGAGGCCCACCACTTCTTCATACTTCCTTCTTTTAAGGAGCTCTCTCTCTCTCTCTCTCTCTCTCCAACTTACACTTTTAAAGCCAATTTTAATTATTTTGTTTTGGGAGAAAGAGAGAGATGAAGAGAATGTGGACATGTTGTGGCTTGTTTTAAAACTATATATATATATATTGAAAATATATATATATATATATATATATATATATATTAAAATATATATATATATATATATATATATAGGGACAAGATCTTCTTACACCGGTATAAGAATAATAAATCTTACACTCAATCTTAGTAGTTGATTTTTGCATATCTGACAATTATAATTTATTGGGAATTAATAATTAATTAATGAAAATAATCCAATTAATTACAGTCGTTTGATGGACGGAAATCAACGGCTAAGATTGAGTGTAAGATTTATTATTCTTATACCAGTGTAAATTGATCATGTCCCATACATATATATATATATATATATATATGGAGAGAGATCATTTGACTCCAGAGTAAGACTTATAAGTCTTACTCCCCATCCTAGCCGTTGATTTCTGTCCATCCAACGGTTATAGTTTAGGAAGTTATATTAATTAATTAATTATTAATTACATTATAAATGACAACCGTTGATTTTCGTCCATCAACAGTTGAGATGGGGAGTAAGACTTAAAAGTTTTACTCTAGAGTCAAAAGAACCCTCCTCCCCTATATATATATATATGATTTATCCCACATTGACCCTTGAACTGCCAGTCACTATTGAATCTTCAAAACATTAACAGCGTGTTTGGTAAATGCTTTTTTTTGGGGAAATAATAGCTTTTTCTTCAAAAGCTCTCCCATTAAGTGTTTGATGTAAGAACTGATACATTGTGTGATTTTCAAACACATTTTAAATTTGCATGTAATATATCTTTGAAATCTTGGTTCATTAACAGTGTTTGTGTCTTGTTACTCCATCTCCAATATTTCATGTGATTTCTAATATATTTTGTTCTATTCATGAAAGCATCTTATTTCACTTGAGAAAGCCCTAACATTTTATGTTACAAACTTACAATTTGCTTTGATGCTGAATTTTTTGAAATTTGTTGAGACATAATACTTTTCATTTGTTTTAGCAATGCATTTAAGTAATGGTTTTATGGGCACTTAATCTTCTGTGAAAGTCTCTATGCTCTGAATCTTCATACAGGGAATTGAAAATTTACATATTGTCCAAATGTGCTTAATCTTTTGCTTTGGGATAATTGATTTTTGTTCAGAAAAGCAGTCTTTTTTTGTCCAAGTGCAACTGTTAATTGCTAGCGCAATAATATTACGGGGGGAAAATTAAATTTCTTTCACTTAGGCTATGTGAAGTTCCCGAGGGGATTGGATTAAGTGGTTCATAAAAGAGTGGACTTGGATTGGAAGAAGTGGATAGTTGAAATTTCAAAATACTCCTTATCAACGTAACATGTTTTAACTTTTAACAAATATCACAAAGGGTAGAAGATGCATTAAACATTTTTTACAGTGCTAAATATCTTTAACCATTCCGGATCCTTGGGGGTTGGATTTCAGTGGGTTGTACTTTGTAGGATGTTTCCGTCCCCTCATCCTTCTCAACTGCATGTGTAAATTTTACTAAACAGGTAGAATCTAATTCGATATTTATAATCTAGATTCCTTGTTTAGTGACAAAGGATGGTATGGAGTTAATATCTGTGCAGTGACGTGCAGCTTAGCAACTGAAGTATATATGCACTGCCTCTTTTACAGTAACTGTTTCTCGTTGCATATATTTCCTACTAAATAATTTAAATGCACCTAGAGGTATGTGACTGTTATTTATATTTTATTTAGGTGTTCAACTACAGTTGAATCCTTTCCTTCTCCACCAAATTATTGTTCAAATCAAGAAATCCAGCATGAATTACAGAAGATGAGAATTTTAGTGGGTGGCCCGCTAAGAAGGCCTCCAAAGCATCAAACTCTGTTAGATTCATTGATGTCTCCTTTTACTTCTGTTGATTCAGAGACTGCTAGTAGTTCAGCACCTGGTGACAAGGATAAATTCATCCGACCGGAAAGTTTAAATAACTTCATAATATTCTGCACCAGTGATTTCACAACTGTATCCAAAGAGGTTCACATGAGAACCCGCAGAGTACGATTAGTTGGGCTGGAGGTATAGACAAACTTCGCTCTGGGGTCAGCGTGTATATAATTCTTTTTATTATTCATCCAATGACTCACATGCATTTGCTTATCTGCAGGGAGCTGGTAAAACTACTCTTTTAAAGGCAATCTTGAATAAATGTAAACCGAATACTGCCACCACTGAGAATGTGGTTTCAGAGGTTGATGTGCAAGAAGGCATTGCTGATGGTTTGTGCTATTGTGACTCTGCTGGAGTAAATATGCAGGTTTTCCATTTTTCTTTGAGTGCTTTTATTGAAAAAGGTTTTCAGTATATTGATATGAATAATTACGTGAGGAATGAGGAGTATTTATACAAGAAAAAATAGCTAAGCATGACTCAACTATGACTCACCAAACCTAATCACAATCATAAGAATGACTCAGCTATGACTCACTAAACCTAATCACAATTAATTCTAATCAATTGCAATTAATCCTAATTAATAGGAAATAAAAAACAATCAATCCTAATTAATCTTAATTATTCCTAATTAATAGGAAATAAAAACGGAAAAATATTTGAATTTGAATTCTGATTTTCTACACTCCCCCTCAAGTTGGGAGGTAAATGTTGATCATTCCCAACTTGCCAATCAAGTCTTCAAAAGCTGGCCGGTGTAGGCCCTTAGTGAGAATATCTGCAATCTGCTCTTTGGTAGGAATATACACCATACATACACTTCCATCATCTATTTTTTCTTTGATAAAGTGGCGATCAACCTCCACATGTTTTGTTCTGTCATGATGAACTGGATTTTGCAATACTGACAGCAGCCTTATTATCACAATACACTCTGACAGGTAGGGAAAAAGAGATCTTCAATTCCTCAAGGAGTCTTCTTAACCAAATTCCTTCACAAATACCATGGGCTAGAGCCCGAAATTCTGCTTCTGCACTGCTCCGGGCAACAACTGTTTTTTTCTTACTTCTCCAGGTCACACGATTTCCGCAAATATAGGTGCAATATCCTGAAGTGGACAGCCCAATCTGCATCTGTATATATTTCAATCATCCTCTTGTGTCCCCTTTTAAAGAACAATCCTCGTCCAGGGGTGTTTTTGAGGTACTTCAGAATTCTATAAACTGCACTCAAGTGTTTTTCCTTAGGAGAATGCATGAATTGACTAACCATGCTAACTGCAAATGCAATATCAGGCCGAGTGTGAGATAAGTAGATCAACTTCCCCACCAATCTCTGATACTGCTCTTTGTCAACTTCTTTCCCATCTTCGATTCCCAATTTAATATTGAGTTCAACTGGAGTCTCTGCTGGCTTGCACCCAAGCATTCCTGTTTCTTGTAACAGGTCTAGAATATATTTCTTCTGAGTTAAAGAAATTCCTGCCTTACTTCGAGCAACTTCCTTGCCTAGGAAATATTTGAGAGATCCAAGATCCTTCAGTTCAAACTGATTAGCTAAACATTTCTTCAAAGAGCTTATCTCCTCACAATCATTACCTGTGACAATTATGCCATCAACATAAACAATGAGAATAGCAATTTTACCACCATTAGAGTGTTTTAAAAATAAAGTGTGATCAGTCTGATCTTGGAGGAATCCTCTTCCCTTAACAGCTTGAGTAAACTTCTCAAACCACTCTCTAGGAGATTGTTTAAGACCATAGAAAGACTTTTTCAACTTGCATACTGAATCGTCTCCTTTTTCAAAACCAGGTGGTGGATCCATATAAACTTCTTCATGTAGATCACCATTCAAGAAAGCATTCTTTACATCTAATTGTTGCAAGGGCCAACCAAGATTTGCAGCAAGTGATAAAAGAACTCGGATAGTGTTAAGCTTGGCAACAGGGGCAAATGTCTCTTGATAGTCTATCCCATGAGTTTGAGTGAATCACTTAGCAACCAGTCTGGCCTTATACTTGTTGATGTTGTTATCTGCATTAAACTTTATTGTGAACACCCACTTGCAACCTACTGTTTTCTTTCCTCTGGGTAATGCTACAGACTCCCAAGTTCTATTTTTGTTGAGTGCATCCATTTCTTCAAGGACTGCATTCCTCCATTTTGGATCATCAAGTGCTTCTTGGATATTTTTTGGTATTTTTGTACTGTCTAACATAGTGTTGAAAGCACGAAAACCTGGGGACAACTTTTCATATGTGATATGATGAGAAATAGAATGAGCAGTACAAGATCTAGTACCTTTTCAAAGAGCAATAGGCACATCTAGGTTGGCTGTATCAGTGTTGCTGGAACTAAGACTCGAGTCAGAATCCTGGCAGTCTAGAGGCTCCTGAGGTGATTCTCGCCTGCTGTAAAACTTTCCCCATTTCCCGAGAGGATCTCCATTATCTGACACATTAACTCCCCCTGTCTTTTTCATAATGACTCCCCCTGTCTCCAACGGCAAAGGCAAAACAACAGAATCATTTGGTTTCCAAGACTTATCTTCATCAACCCCAATAGACTCCCCTTGAAGAGAAGTCGAAGGAAAAAAAGATTGTCTCTCATCAAATGTGACATCCATAGAAACAAAGACCTTACGAAGTGAAGATGAGTAACACTTGTAGCCCTTTTGGTTAGGAGGATATCCTATGAAGACACATTTAATGGACTTAGGATCGAGCTTGGACCTTTGATGGGAAGGAACATGTACAAAAGCCACACAACCAAACAACTTGGGAGGAAGGGAAGAATGAGCCCGAAAAGAAGGAAAGGTGTGGGTAAGACAAGATAAAGGAGATTGAAAATTTAGGACACGAGAAGGCATCCGATTGATGAGGTATGCTGCAGTCAAGACAGCTTCCCCCCACAAATATTTAGGGACATGCATGGTAAACATAAGAGCTCGAGCAACTTCAAGGAGATGTCTATTTTTTCTTTCAGCCACCCCATTTTGTTGAGGGGTGTTAGGACAAGAACTTTGATGAAGAATACCATGCTGGCTGAGATAGTTTCCAAGAACAGAATTAAAATATTCAGTACCATTGTCAGTTCGAAGAATTTGGATAGAGGTCTGGAACTGAGTTTGAACCATAGCATGAAAGTTTTTAAAAATGGATGCAGCATCAGACTTATCCTTTAAAAGGTATACCCAACATACCCTAGAGTGATCATCTATGAAAGTTATAAACCAACGAGCACCAGAGATATTTTTTTCACGGGCTGGACCCCATATATCACTATGAATCAAGGTAAATGGAGAAGAATCATGATGGACTCTAGGAGGATAAGAAACACGAGAATGTTTTGCAAGCTGACAAATATCACAAGAAAAAGAACTGGGATTTTTAATGATAAATAAGCTTGGGAACAACTTGTGAAGATAAATGAAATTTGGGTGTCCTAACCGACGATGCCACAACAAAACATCATTACAATCATCAGACAAACATACCGAGTGCTTCACAAATTTTTTTCCTTCACAAGAATCTTTTTCTAAATAATAAAGTCCTTCTTCCTCTCTAGCACTGCCAATCATCAGCCCCGAGTCCTGTTCCTGGAAAACACAAGCATTGACAGAAAACTTGGCAACACAATGTAACTCAGACGTAAGTTTGCTGATAAAGATAAGGTTACAACTAAGAGAGGGAACATGAAGGACTGAGTTCAAAGTAATGTGTACAGAAAGTTTAATGGATCCTTTTCCAGCAATAGTAGAGAAGCTGCCATCTGCTGTTCTTATTCGTGATTGTTGATAGAAAGGGGTATAAGAACAAAATAAGGTTGCATTACCTGTCATATGATCTGAAGCCCCTGAATCAAGAATCCATCGACTACTATTATCAACATGGAACGCTATACCTTGTTGAGCAACATTGCTGGATGGAAATTTACTTTCAATCAACATGGCTGCGTGTGGTAACGCGTAGGGCGGACGCTCCGTCCTTTCTCTAGTGCGTGGCTCAGCAGAATCCGATGGTCCTTCTTGAAACTTGTAGATCGGCTCCTTCTGTTTCGAATGGTGCCGATCTTGGTCGGAAATGTTGCCGGAAAAATTTTCCGACGGTTGCTGACGGTGGCTGACGGCGGTGGAAAGCTGGGATTTTGCCTTTTACAGTGATTGGTAGCCTTACTTTGCTCTTGGGACTTTGTAGGAAGGGAAAATAACCTTAATAATGGTTAGAGGTTGAGTTTTCCGGCGTTGTGCTGCCGGTTTGACCGTGGTTGTGGTGGCTGAGTTTTCTCAGGACCAATTTGCTTTGATATCATATTGAAAAAGATTTTCAGTATATTGATATGAATAATTACATAAGGAATGAGGAGTATTTATACAAGAAAAAATAGCTAAGCATGACTCATCAAACCTAATCACAATCATAAGAATGACTCAGCTATGACTCACTAAACCTAATCACAATTAATTCTAATCAATTACCATTAATCCTAATTAATAGGAAATAAAAACGGAAAAATATTTGAATTTGAATTCTGATTTTCTACAGCTGTTTTCCCCTATTTTCTTCGTGCTTTCCCCTGCAAAGTGATCTCTTTTTTATTCACTTGTTTATTTTTGAAATTGTAAAGAACCAATTCAACCCAAAAGCTTAAGCTGTTGGGTGAGGCTACATTAATGGTTTTATACATCTCAACACGCCCCCTCACACGAGAGCCCACTGGGCTTGAAGGGTGAACAATGAACAGGCCCACCTACCTGTGCGAAGAAAGAAATTCCACTAGAAAGAAAGTGAGGGGCGGTGAGGATCGAACCCGGGACACGAGGCTTTGATATCATGTAAAGAACCAATTCAACCCAAAAGCTTAAGCTGTTGGGTGAGGCTACATTAATGGTGATGCACTTGAGTCACCATAAGTTATTATAATTGCATACGTTTTAGTTTTAAGGCCTTTTATAATTTTAATAATTGCAGACGTTTCAGTTTGCATGACTTTATGTTTGGTTTATGGCTATTTCCGTTTTGTATTAGTTTTAAGACCATTGATGGTCCTTTATTCTCAGTTACTTTTTGTATTGCCTGATTAAAAAGCTTGTTAGAAGGATGTGAAAAGAAGACTTTTGATGATTGAAGAACGATAATATAGCAGAAAACTTCTGCATTTTCCTGAAAGCCTATTTTCCCTATAATTTTGCATCATTTGGTATCAGAGCTCAGGTTGCCTCAAAGATGGCTGAGCAGGAGAATCGCGGAGATCGAGGTCGTGGTCGTGGACGAAGAGGTCGTGGCGGCAGAGGACGCGGTCAACCTACCGATGACGATTATTATACTGATGCGAGAGATGCTGAAATTGAGGAAAAGGACAGACGGATCCAAGAACTCGAACAACTGCTTGCAGAGGCGCAGTTGCACGGGTCAGAAGGGAGACAAGAATCTGAACTGTCATCTCCAGAGGAAGAGGAGGAAGAAAATCCATTTTGGAACCGCGAAAGACCAAGGAGAGGTCGAACCGGTGATCAACCCTTCTCATCTAATTTTGGGATGAAGATCGAGATTCCAGAATTTGAGGGATCTACTCACCCTGATGTATTCATCGACTGGTTACACACCGTTGAGAGGGTTTTTGATTTAAAAAACCTCACATATGAGCAAAAGGTGAAATTAGTAGCAATCAAATTGAAGAAGCATGCCTCAATTTGGTGGGAACATGTCAAGAAACAAAGAATCAGAGACGGAAAGTCTAAAATTCAAAGATGGGACAAGATGAAGAAATTGTTGCAGCACAAATTTTTGCCTGCTCAATACAGACAAGAGGCCTTTATTGAGTATCACAATTTCAGGCAACGTGATCTTACGGTGGAACAATACACCACTGAATTTGATCGTCTTCGAATGCGTTGTGACATGGTCGAAGAAGATGAACAAGTGATTGCTCGATATCTAGGTGGATTGTGGGATGAAATTTCTGATGTTGTGTACTTACAACAGTATTGGTCTTATGAAGATGTGTGCAAACTGTCCTTGAAGGTGGAAGGACAATGTAAAAGAAAGGGTGACCGTTCGAAGTTTCAATCAAGATTTCCTAGAAAGGAATTCAGAGCTAAATCAGTGAGTTCATCAGCATTTTCACCTGCGGAAAGGGGTTCTACGCATCAAAAAAATATTCCCAACAAGGAAGGGTCGAGTAAAGGAAGTAGTGCAGGGAAGAGATGTTTCAAGTGCCAAGGAATTGGACACTTTGTTGCAGATTGTCCAAATAAACAGATTGTGACGTTTGCAAGATGCTCCTATTTTTGATGAAGAACCAACCTATGACAATGTAGATGAACAAGAAGAAACAGAATCTGAAGAGGTAGAAATTGTCTATGCTGATACCGGAGAATCACTAGTCACTCGAAGAGTCTTGAATGAGGATTTGGTGAATGATGAAACTTGGCTTCGGCATACCATTTTCCACACCAAGTGCACCAGCTGGGGAAAAGCATGCAGTGTGATTATAGACGGAGGGAGTTGTGAAAACATTGTTTCTACTACTATGGTAGAAAAATTGGGGCTAAAAACAGAAGCACACCCACAACCTTATAAGCTATCTTGGTTAAAAAAAGGAAATGAGGTGAGGGTAACCAAAAGATGCCTCGTGTGTTTTTCAATTGGGAAAAAATATTCAGATGAGGTATGGTGCGATGTCGTTCCTATGGATGCTTGTCACATTTTATTATGTAGGCCATGGCAATTTGATAGGAAGGCAAAACATGATGGTTTCAAAAATACTTACACCTTCAAAAAGGATGGTCACCTTATTAAACTAGCACCTTCAGATTGGTGGAAGGAAGCAAATTAAGCAAATAATTCTTTGCTGTCCAAGTCAGAAATTTTAGAACTGGCAAAATTCACAGATGTAATGCCAGAAGAATTGCCGCCTGGATTACCACCTGAAGAAGTTGACGTCAATAAAGATGACGCAGATTCGAGGGCTAATCTTTTCGTAGCAGGGGAGGATGATGCACTTGAGTCACCATAAGTTATTATAATTGCATACGTTTTAGTTTTAAGGCCTTTTATAATTTTAATAATTGCAGACGTTTCAGTTTGCATGACTTTATGTTTGGTTTATGGCTATTTCCGTTTTGTATTAGTTTTAAGACCATTGATGGTCCTTTATTGTCAGTTACTTTTTGTATTGCCTGATTAAAAGGCTTGTTAGAAGAATGTGAAAGGAAGACTTTTGATTATTGAAGAATGATAATATAGCAGAAAACTTCTGCATTTTCCTAAAAGCCTATTTTCCCTATAATTTTGCATCAAATAGTTTTATATATCTCAACAGAAATGTTTTTATTATTTGTGGGAGAAAAAAAAAACCGGCATGTTCTTCCACTCTCATGTCTTAATTACCTGCTTTGTGGTTCAAACCTAATGTTAACCTGTAGAATGTTTGTTGCTATTGCTGGCTTCATTCCAGAATTTGTTTTCTGACCCTACATTCTTGATGATTTGATGTTTGGTGATGTACTTTGTTAGAATAGTATGTTAAAGTAATACAGTATATATAATAGAATAGTCCCACATCTTGTATATGATAGATTAGTTTATGTACTTGTTAATATATATATATATATATATATATATATATATATATATATATATATATATATATTAGGTTAATTAATGTACTTGTTAACATATAGCTTATGTACTTGTTAACGTATTTATATATTCCCTATGTGCTCATATTAGACACATAATTATTCAACCTTAGGTGAATTAATGAAGGATGTTTTCGTAATTTTGTTTATTTTTTTATCATATACATTTTACTGAAACACCCTTCATTAATTCACCTAAAATTACAGAAACACCCTTCATTAATCAAAACGACGTAGTTTTGGGATAGCTGTAGATAACCTTATCTAAAGTGGCTGTAGAAATGTTTACCCCATATAGGAAAAAACATTTTATATATTCCCTGTGTGCTCGTATTAGACACACAATTATTCAATCTTAAGTTACTTGAAAGGTATGGCCATGATCTTCCCCCTTTTTTAAAGATGCCAAAAGGTTGAAACATTGTTAATGCAATTTTTTTTGTTCAGGAGAGTTATGGCATCATCAGTCTGTTTACATGCATTACAAAGGGAAAACCCTAATGCACAATGTTCCCCAACCTTGTGAGAGTGGGGTGGGGGTCAATTGTACATAGAATAACCCTTACGTTTTTTCAAAGAGGCTGTTTTCTAGACTTGAACCCATAACCTTCTGAATTGCAAAGAAGCAATTTTGTCACTGCTCCAAAGCCTTGCCCTTGGTTTACATGCTTTATATTTTTGAATACATAGTAATTACTATTTTAGTCAAAAGGGTTGATATGATGGAAAACTCACTGTTATTAGTCTTCTTAATAGCTAAACACTTGTTCTGCATATAGATACTTATTAATTGAATTCTGAAGAATTTTTTTTTTTTTTTTATAACCAGGTCGTGTCTAATATTGTAGTCAAGCAAATATCTCATATGCTTATTTATGGTTGGTTTTTAAGAGCTTGACTGAGGACATGTGTAGCTTGCTGTTCATAGTGAGCTCGGTTGCTAATAAACATAGTACAATTTGAATTTTTAAAATATATTTAGTGATGTTCATTTTTAGGATAAAGGTGGTGGTGTTGTTGATGTTGATGTTGATTTGCTTTTTTCTTTTCTTTTAATTGTTTTACAGCAACTGAAAATGGAAACCTCTCGCTTCAGGGATGAACTATGGCTTGGGATTCGAGATCTAAGTAGGAAAACAGATTTGATTGTTCTTGTTCATAACCTATCCCATAGCATACCTCGATATAGTAATTCAAATGGTACTCAAGAAAGGCCAGTCCTCACACTTTTCCTGGATGAAGCTAAGTCTCTTGGAATTCCTTGGGTTCTTGCAATAACAAACAAATTTGCAGTAAGTGCACATCATCAAAAAGCAGCAATTGATGCTGCTCTGAAAGCTTATGAAGCATCTCCTAGCTCAACGGAAGTTATAAATTCTTGTCCGTATGTTATGCCTGGTTTTGCTGGGGCTTCTCTTTCATGGGATGCAACCAATGCTGATTCTAATAGATGGGTGGATGCTCAAAAGCTTATGTTTGCTCCTATTAACTTCGTTAGGAGACCTTTCCAGAAAAAGGAGATTGTTCTTCCCGTTGAAGGTGTGAACTCTCTTTGTCAGCAAATCCATCGTGTTCTTCGCAGTCATGAGGAGTCTTCTTTTCAGGTAGGAAAATCTTAATTTCATACTATTTAATCTCTTTTTTAATTTTGTTTGAGTACTAGTACCTCATTTTTTGTGTGTGTGTATATTGTACTTCTACTTTTTGATTGTGGCTTTTGATCTAAAAGTTATCATCATAAAACAATGTGTTAATGCTGTTTTAGATAATCATCATGAGTCTTCAGTTAAAAGCTTAAACTTTTGAAATAATTTCTCATCATGGTATGAAAGCCTTAAATTTTGATCCTTGCTGTCCCATTCTCTATAATTAAGTTGAATTTCAGCACAAGGTATATTATAAAAGCTTAAGCTTGTGTGATGGGGTGTGTTTGGTATATACCTATTCGTGATCCTTCACCTAAAATCTTAAGTAAATAAAGCATGACAAGTAATAATAATGCAGTATTTAGAAATTAGGAAAGCCATTTGGATCAAGTAAATAATTACTTAGGTAAGGTGCACCCAAGGTAAATAAAGCATGACAAGTAATAATAATGCAGTATTTAGAAATTAGGAAAGCCATTTGGATCAAGTAAATAATTACTTAGGTAAGGTGCACCCAAGGTAAAGGGTATTTGGGTGTTTCTGTAGTTGTGCTATTACTTGAAATGAAAATTGAGGTAATTTGTATGTCAATTATTCAGTAATCAGATTCAACTCTATTTCATTCTAGTTGGTATCTGAGCTTTTGATCCGAGAGTGTAACACCCCGTTCTAGAACCGGTTTGTTAACATCGCATTATGATATTAAGCGCAGTTACAATCACATGGGTTCAATTAAAATCCGGATAAATTTTTCATTTTAAAACATGCCGAATTTGTAATACCCAATTTCGTGATCATAACCGTATTACCTTGCGGAATCAGATAAATTAAGCTTAACATCATGTTCTTATTCCATTTTTAAACCATTAATGTACTTCCTATTTATTTCACAACTTCTACTATATTGTAGATCTCTTCATTAGCTACCCGTGGCTTCAAACCGCGCTCAAATCGGAGCACTGTAGCCCAAGTTATGACAATTTGAAGCAACACAAGAGGGTGTTGATCACAGGCCCCGCGCGCTTCAGCGCGCTACCGGGCGCTCAAGCGCGCGTTATCGGGCGCTAAAGCCTCCATCTGGGCGCTTAAGCGCGCGGAGGCAGGAAGCATCAGGTTTTTCAGAGTAAATGGGCGCTTAAGCGCGCCCCAGGGCGCTCAAGCGCGCTATCCTGGGCGCTTAAGCCCCCATCTGGGACATTTTAGCGCGCAGAGACAGAAGCATCTCCTCCTTCAGCGGCTAAGGGCGCTCAAGCGCGATGAGGCCGAATGCATTGGCACTCACAGGGGCAGCAGGGCGCTTGAGCGCGCTCCTGGGCGCTTAAGCGCGCTGCCAGGGAATTCCAATTCCCACATTTTTCAAGTCCAATTCTAGGGGAAGATGCATCCCCCTTCCAAACTCCAATGGTTCATACCTCAAAACTAAATCCTAGCACTCATCCAACCTCTCCTCATGAGATTTAGCTAGAATTTGGGCAGCATAACCTTTGTTTTCTCAACGTTTTCAAATTTAAACAAAAGGTACCTAATTGATTCTCAGCCCAACCAATTCAATAACTCAATACATAACAAGCATGCATATATTGAATTCCAAGTAGGCATGATTTACAGTACATATTCATTACAATTCATGGAACTTAGCTTACAAAATACTATGATCATTCCCTTGGCTCCCATCAACAAAAGAGATGACCAAAAACATGAGCATAGGCTAAGTCCATTCCAATATACAAATCATACATCTATCAATTGTCTATGAATTACAATCCTATACATGTGAGCTACAAAACATGTATGATATCAAAATACTGGATCCTCATGCATCAATACTAGTCCAAGTATGGCCACTTGCCACTGGTGGCTCCTGCAGCATCCTTACCTGAAAGGGGGTCCCCACAATACGGGGTGAGATATACGAATATATCCAGTAAACCAGGGGTCCTTGGAGCATCTCTCCACCCCACAGTTCCATATCAGTGTAATAGCAATAACAATAATAATGCAGTAAATACATATCTATGCAAAGTGCAATAACATCTCCAGGAGAAATCCCTCGAGCTCTCAAGCTGTCCTAAGGAAACTCAGATGCAAATAGTCCTACTGGCCAGCTAACTACCAAGTATGATTTACGCATCGTCATGCAACATACCAACATAGGGAAACACCATCCTATGCCACACCAAATGCGTACACATACGTATAACAAAGCATTACACTATTTTATTGCATTTATATACACAATCACAACCTCTACCCTTTCAGGGCTTGGTAGAACAGTCAAGGGAATTACACCCAAGGTCCGAAGGCTTACCTCAAGCTTCAATTCGACCTTTGTTCACCACCAACAGTTTCAGCAACCAATTACAATAATCACTCTTTTCAAATAAAACCTACACAAGGTTTAATGCAATTAACACATATTGCATCCAATAACATCACATAGCTATCATCCAAGCTATACAATTCATACCAAACATAAGCATGAACTTACCTATCCAATGGAGCTAATCAAGCTCCATAGCTTGCTCCAATGGTTGACCACTTACGGTTGGTCCAAATGTCTCAATCCTAGACATCACAAGGACACAATCATCAATCAACCAAGTCAAACCATTTCTCATAATTGCAAGAAAACTCTTCAACAAGCATGATAATCTTGCAATATACCTAGTATAGTCATTTAACTAACTAGGATCATTTTTACCGATTAAATGACATTCCTAGCATTTTTCACAACATGCTCTAAGCTCCATTCTTCCTAGAACATAGCTAATTTAACAACATTTCATCACAAACCCTAAAACACTATTCATAAACCCTAACTCATGGAATTTCAAGGAATCATGAGGTTCAAGGGTTAGAATCTTACCACCAATGGTCACACAACCAAGGATTGATGGTTCCTCAAGCTTCAATGGAGGTTGAAGCACTCAAAACCCCAAATTTCACCAAATGGGCGAATTTTTGAGAGCCAATATCCCTCTCCACAATGCTCCCCACTCAAAACAAAGCTAGGATTATGAAAGAGGGGAAGATTTAGAGTGGTTTAGGCTTTGGAATCACTCCAATCGGTTGGGATTTGCTCCCTCCTCTCTCTCTTCTTCTCTCTCCCTTTCTCCTCCTTCTCCTTCTTCTTCTTTTCTTCTCTTCTGGCTCGACGGGTTGCTGGGGGAAATGGGTTTTCTTTAGTTACTTTATCACTTAACATAGGTTAAGTGGTAACATGTGGATATTAGTTCATCTATCTATTCAACTCCATTAATTACCAAACTTTACCCAAAAGTCTGGAATATTATTCTAGGAATATTTTTATTTTTATTTTTATATTTTGGGTACTTTTGCCTACACTCATTAATACCCCTTAATTTTCACTGAGTACACATTTTAACTCCAAAGTGACTCAGATTCATTTAATTAAGCCTTATACTTAATTTTACTCACTAAAACATGCTCAATTATTTAATTACATGCTATTTGCTAATTAATTAGGTTAGGGCTATTACAGGGAGACTCTGCCTTCACAAATCAACCCTAGTTTGCCTTCACTACACCTTTCGCAGCAGCCACCATGTTGTAGCTGGCCTTGTTCCTCTTATGTGCCTTTGTCGCACTCAGTTCTCTTCCTAGCCACCAAGCCTGCTGATGCCACTGCCAGCTGCTGCCTCTTTTCTGATTTGCAATCTCACCAAATTTACAATCATCCTTCGTCTGACCAACTGCCAAAGACTCATCTCCGGCAACCTGCTCATGTGTCCTCACACATATGTGAGTCCCTCTGCTCATCAGTTCAAAGTTCAAACAACACACTTAAGGCAGCGCATGGCAGCATGTCCGTTTGCAGTTCATTCTTCCCATCTAGATTTGTCTTCACCTTGTCAAATTGGTAGCAACCCACAGGCCCTCCTTCTACACAGGAAGCCTTGTTCTTGACCCAAACCTTCTGTTCGCTATTTTATCCAAACACCCTACAACCATGTCCGACACAAATACCAACCACCCAACCTACTCCATCATTGTGCCTTACACACCTAATGACCCAAAAATTTTACATCCTGCCTATCACCTTCCTGAAAAGGCAGGCATTATTTGCAATGGACCCAAGTCATTATTTGCAATGGACCCAAGTCATTCATACCACCCTCAAAGGCAGGCAGAAATTGGACCACAATGAAGGGAATGCCCCTGATAAGACCCAAAATTAACCCAAACCCTTTGGCACAGTTGGTCCGGAGGCTGTGTTCCCTTAATCAGTGATCTCGAGTTCGAGCCCTGGATATAGAAAAAAAGGATTGGGTAGAGCCGCCCCCGCAAGGGTCCTACGGTGCTCGGTTTGGGATTAGTCTCACCCCCGAAGGGGGTGGGGATACCCTTCAGTTACTGAAAAAAAAAAAAAAAAAAAAGACCCAAAATTCAATAAGTGGGATGACGAGGACTCTTATCATTAGATGGCTGTGGAATTCTCACTTGGATGGTCGGAATTGCATGTTCCTACCTAGTAGCACATGAAATTTAGGACTACCTTCATCATGCGACAGGACATACCCACCTACTATGAGTTGAAGTCAAAGATTTTCTCTACCTAACAAAGAGATCTCACAGTTATCGATTATTACGGGATCATGGGATGTGGATTGAGCTTGGCCAATATTATAATCTGAGGATGGAGTGCACTAAGAATGCTTACAGAGTATGGCCAGATTTGTTGAAAGAGGTATCATATTTATTCTAATATGAAGATGGACCGCAGTAAGAATGCTTCTAATTTGACCAGGTTTGTTGAAAGAGATCGCATCTCTGAGTTCCTCTCTAGTTTAAATTCTGAGTATGACCCTACCTATGAGAGTACAATTGGTGAGAAAGGAGAAGCTTCAATCTCTATCTGAGGTTTTCTACAATGTTTGTGTAGAAGAGAGTAGTTGAACTGAATCATGCTTGATGACACAAGCCAACTTGATGGATTAGCCCCTTGGCAACGGGCAAGACAACCTAACCAGGCTCTTCCTCTTCCTTCTCTAGGCTTAATCAAGAGTCACTAGTTCGCCTATTGTGAGAAATCTGGTCACGCCGAGGAAAATTGCTTCAAACTCTATGGGAAGGACTAGGACTAGGTCAAGTAACAATTCCTCGGTCAAATGTGGGATTTGAGTATTGATCAATGGGAACTGCTGCATGTAAACTCATATGGTTAAGAGTGTTTCTCATAAATAATAACTTTGGGCTTCTGGAAAAATTTTAGGATAGCCATTTGAAAAAAAGAAAAGAAAAGAAAAACAGAAAAAAGAAAAAAAATTCTAAATAGACTTCTTGAAAATTTGAATTTTAACAGAGCTCACAATGATGATGTTTCATCTATGTATCTGTGATTCCACCGATTGGAATTTGGGATAATACGTAACGTTGTTCCTCCACTTAAGCTATTAAATCAGAAGCTCAATTGTTTATGCTCTTCAAGATTTCCTGTTTTAAGTGAAACTTGTTGCTATATCAATTGATATTTTGTAGGTGCTCATTTTTTGTTTATCATGTTTCTTTCATTGCAAAATTTCAAATGCATTTGTTATACAATAATGCACACTAATAATTTTGATTTCTTTTTTAATGCTTTTATCACAGGAACTTGCGAGAGATAGACTAGTGATGGAGTTGACACGAGAACAAGCACTGTCAATTAATGGAAGTAGAGATGCTCGGGCTAAGGTAACTTCATTGAATTCTGCTGCTGTGGGTGCATCTATTGGGGCTGGTCTTGGCCTTGTACTGGCAATTGTAATGGGAGCAGCATCTGCCCTGAGGAAACCCTAAGGACCAAATTCCTCTCTTATAACTGACATGGAGTTTGCCCAATGGGAGTTGGATTTCAATTTTTATTTTTTTTTATTAGGATTTCATTCTTTTCTTAGATAACAGATAGAAGAAATTTATGAAGTGCAGTGTCACACTAGCAACATATGAGTGCTCAATTAGTTTATTTAATTTTTAGCTCCTTGAGTTTTATGTCTGTACCGTTGCCAGACTTGTTATGAAATTAAATTAGAAAGGAATAGGGATGAATTTAAGTGAAACTTAACAAAAACATTTGGACCATCCGGGTTTGCAGTGGCACGCTACGTTCATGATTTTGGAAGCGGATAAAAGTTTAGATAGCTTATAGACATAATATACCCACTCAAATTACAAAACATCAACTTAAGGGAATAGTAATTCTCATGTTAGTAGATAATTTTATTTTATTTTCTATACATTCCTAAAAATTGTGGTTCATATTTTTTTTTTCTCTTCTTTTCATATGTATTCACGAGGGGCTCACATATTTTTATGTGTTTAGGAAATAATTTTATGGGGTTAATATTTATGCTTTTACTGTATAATTTTTTTTTTATCACATTCACATAAAAGTGAATAAGTTTCACTAATATTTTCTCTCTCTCTTTTTTGTAATGGGATTCATTTACTTTTATGAGTGTGGTTTTCTGCATAAAATCAGGAACGCTTTTTTTTTTTAATTTTATCTCCTATAACATGAAAAATATTAATCTCATAAATTTATCTAGCTACATTTATATATGTTTTAGTAATATATTCAATTTTGATGTCACGTAAGTTCATATATTATGGTTGTGTTTCCTGCAAAATGAAGAATAGTACAAGGAAAACATCTTAGGAGAATTATTAATCATAGTGAATTATTTGTGCTGATAGTTTATGTATGACACTATCAATCTTGTGTTATATGATATTTAATACCCTTGACAAATTTCCTACAATTGTGCACAATTTGTTTTGCATTACAAAAAAATGCAGACAAGATTTGTTTCTTTATTACAATATTTATCATTGGATTTTTCTCACTGTATTTTTTTTATATATTTTTAATGCTATGAGTATATTTTTTAATTATTTTTTCATAATTACAATGTAATTAAAAATAATAATATAATTAAATTATAAATAATGTCACATTAAATTATAAATAATGTCACATTAAATATTATCTTGAACTCAATGAATTTAACAAAAAAAAGAAAGAACGTTAGTAATAAATAAAAAAAGTTTGCATGTACCAAAAAAAAAAAAAAAGTTTGCAACTACATAATTTACAAAAAAATAAAATAGAATAAAATCTGTGCTAAAATTATGTTAATTATGTAATTGTATTAACTAAATAAAAATAACTTTTTAAGATTTTTAAAAAAAAAAAAAAACTTGATTTGGTATCTTGAAAATCTAGATATTGGATGTGATTGCATATCAACATTGGGCTTTGGTGATGGTGGGTTCTCAGGGGATGTTTGGTATGCAGAATATTATAGAATTATTGGGAAAGTGGTTAGGTAAACATTGTTTACCATGTTTGGTATCTGTTAAATTTATCAAATACCGGTATATTATTTTGCCAGTGCAAATCGATTTGTATTAGACTCTGGAAAAAATAATTGCATTTTGAACCGTGGTATTTTTTTAGTCTGAGTCGTGGACAGACCTGTTATTCAATTTGAAGACCAAAATGCCCTGAAAAAGTATATTGGGTACAAGGTGTCTGAAACACCTCAGATCTATTTTCTACCACAAATTGTCTTCGTCTCCATTCGTTCGCTTCAACTGCGTTGTGTGGGTGGTATGTTCTTCACAAAGTCTGATTTCCGAGTACAACGGTTGATTAAGAAATGTAATAATTCATCTCCATTAAGGTTGAACTTTGAAGTTGCATCAAGTAACTTTGATTTCCTTTGTGTGTTTCTTCCTTGATTAATGAACTTCATATTTAAAGAGAGAATTTGTATTCAACTTGATATTCGAAGCTTGAAGTTTGACAGTACAATGGTGCAGGATCAGTATATGTTCTGCTACAGAGAGGCTGATTTGGTTATGTATATGTGAAAACATGCACCTGCCCAAAATGTAGCTTCCAGTGTCGTTCGCAAGGATGGCTGCAAAAAGACGCTCGTTCAGCTCCGGAGTTCGTTCGTTTTACAATTATTCAAAATGGTGGGCAATTTGGTAATTTAAGTTTACTTTTCCATCAATATTTTACACTTATCCAAACACAACATTAGTAAAATTTACCCAATTTTCTTAGAAAAATTTTAACCTACCGAACACTTTTTTTAATTTACCGGACAAAAAATTCTTTCTACTATATTCTGAGCAAATTTCTTTTCTAGTAAAATAAAATATTTCTTGTACCAAAAGCTCCCTCGGGGTATTTCGACCTTTTTCTCGGGTGGCATATGAGTGGAAGGCATGTTCGCAAACTGCGATGTTTTGTTAGAGTCAAAGCAGTTTTCATGACGAGGGTGGTTGAACCTCTCAACATTATTCCAGTGAGAAAATCGGAGCTCCGTAAATGGACAGGGTTTGGGGTCAAGGAGTGGTTCAAATGATGAAAATGTTTGGTCCCGCAGATGGTATTATTGATTTTATGCAGTTTGTACTACGAATTGGGTTAAAATAGTTTTGATGCATTGTTCCATTACTTTGATTTTCAGCAAATCAAACATACCCAATAATTTAAATTAGTATAATATGTGTTGGAAAAGGTTTTATGCTCATTCCAAATCGTTGATAATTAATTCACTTGTATTTGATTGCTCACTGTGAAAAATATATCTAAGCCTAAGGCCCAACAACTAAAGGGAAAAAATCCTAAATCCCTAATAGGACTATGGACTATGAGCAGCCACCATATATAAGTATATTTATCTTTTTTTTTTCTTTTTTTGAAATATTTTAATTGATTCATCACTTCGTGACTAGTCCGATTCGGGGAGGGGGTCTTTATTTTCATTCAACAAGATACCATAAGGTAAACATTCTACCTTGCACACAATTATGGCAAATATTGACTTCAACATATGAGTGCCTTGCAGGTGCACATCCCCCACAACCTGGACTACTTTGAGGATGCTCAATTTCAACCACACTTCATGATTTGGTCACACATATATTCATTGGCGCAGTTTGTGTGAAAAGTACATTCTTATTCCCATCTAGACGTGGTAAGAAAACTCTACCCATTATAAATAAATGAAGATCGCTAGAGTTTCTGTCTGTGATTTCTCTGCAATTGGTACTTCTGCACTTTAAAAAGGGATCTATAATATCTTTGCTGGGTCCAGAAGCACGCCAAGCTTACTCAGGTCGTTAGCCGATCAGTTGCCAAGAGCAGCGCATCACCGTTTGGTCATGAGATAGAAATGATTTCAAGAAACGTATTACCCAATCGTACTATATTTTTCTGCAATTCAGTGTTTGTGCACAACCACTTCCATCTTTTTATCTTTTCAATAAAATGTTTAATACAAGGTCTAAGGCATTAAGAAGAATAGCAGGGTTGAAACGTCAACCATTATGAAGCTATAGTTGAAGGTCAAAATCAATAATGGAGCTCTCTTCAATACGTTCATCACAACACGCAACACCTTCTCTTGTTCATAAGGTATAACGCCTCAAGAATTGGACTAGATAACGTTCCTCCCAACACGAAATCACGGTTATTGGAAGGTCCAACGATTTCGTCGCAAAATACAAGTAGAATTTCGTCGAAATATCCATCATAAATCATATCGGATAATATTGTCGCAAATTCCATCGCAAATTGCGACAGATTAACTCATAGCCGTTGCAAAGTTTTCTCCCTAGGTTTGCAACCAATTTTCCGGTCGTAAAAATTTTCGTCTCAATAACCTGTCACAAGTTTTTCATTTTTGAGACATAATTAATTTCTGTCACAATTTGCAACGGAAATGCGACGAAATTTGCATCCATTTTTTTAGTGACCAAAATTTTGACATATATTCGTCGCAATTATTGTATAGTCACAATTTTCGTCGCAGATTGGGACGGTTGATTTTTCATCGCAATTTGCGACGATTTTTTTTCATAGCAAATTATCGTTGCAATTTCAGCATTTTCTAGTAGTGCACACACCACCCGTTTGACAACTTCTATACACCACCCGTCGTTGACTGAACATATCTATCCATCGGATAGTACAATTTCATTATTTTTCCTTTTTAATAAGGGTATACTCATGTGGCTCTGAAAATGTTCTCAACAATCCTGAGCCTAAATTCAGTCCAAATTCCAATACCTAGACTTGGAGCACCCCTGCCTTGGAAAAGTGTGTTACTACATTGAAAAATAAGGTTTTTCTTTTTGGAGAACTGAAAAATAAGTTTTAGGGTTTTTCTATTGAGCTTTTTTTTAACCAACAAAGCCCAACACACAATTAGTAGATGGTTGGGTCCCTTAAGCATGCTAACAAGGGTTTGATTTCTAGCTGTGTGTATGAAAAATATTTTGTTGGTAGAAGTAAAATTCAATTCAATGATCTCTATGCCTCGAATGAATTAGTCTTCAGCTGTCAACCTGAGGATACCTTGAGAAAACTAAAAAAAATAAAAATAAATAAGTTTTCAGTAAAAGTACTGTATCCTTATAATATTTTTCTAACTATTCAAAAAAAATGCTAGAAAACATTTTGGTAACTAAAAAGGATTATTTGACCGATTCACCACGAGATATAGAATTTCTATTCGGCCACTGATTAATACATATCATAAAAAGAGAAAAATTCATTCTAAATTAAGGGATTTTTATATTTATTTGTTTTAATCTAGAAAGTTTAAATTATTTAGAGTAAACTCTTAATATGTTTTTTCATAATAATTTAATCTCTCAATAACACAAGTTATAATCAACTTGATTCTTTAACTAAATAAAATGACATCACATTACTCTTTAAATTAAATTTTGTTACACTTATATCTGTCCGTCTCGTATATATATATATATATATATATATATATATATATATATATATATATATATATATATATATATATTCATACTTTGCATATTTATTTAACCTTTTTTTCAATTTTATTTATTTTGGTTCATTGATCGATCATCAACCTTTAACTGGAATGAGAACAAATTTGATATTGACATTGTTGATAAAGGGTAAACATCGGCGTACAAGGCATCCTCATTTTAAGAGAGTAGAAATTGTTACATGGAAATTTATCTATATATTTTAAAAGAAATTATTTTCTAAATTCGTACATATCCAATCACAAAGAAACAATTTCATTGCTAGGTGCTCAAAAGCTCGCCTTTTGATGTTCTTGTTATTGATACTTTGATAATTAACGAATTAAATAATATTTTAAGGGATTAATATTTTATCTACATACATATAAAAATATACATACTCCATTTTTTTTTCATAAGAGGTGCTAAAATATATTATGACTCACGAATCAACTCACGATATGACACATCAAAATAAGGGTCATGTCGACTAGTGAAATAAAATAGGTTATGCACATTTGAATAAATGATATGAATTGTTATCATGTTCTGTGATGAGTTGACTCACGTAACCTGTATGTTAACCTGCAAATATTTTTTTTTAAAAAAATAAAAAAATTGAAATTTCGATAATTCTGTCACCACTCGTTATGAGTCCAGATCAATTCACATATTTTATTTAGTTTTTTTTTTTAAAAAAAATTGATTTTTCAATTTTTGTGAATCAATGCCACCCATGGCTGATCTGTCTGGATTTTAATTTTTGACAATAAAAACGTATTATGTTGGGGGTTAATTAAACACTTTGAAAATCTGAAATAGTGGAATTATTTATCGTTATCTTTGAATTATTTATCAGTATCTCTTAGGTTTGCGTTGTTAGTTATACGTATTTCAATTATGGAGGCAAATGCAATGGGAAGTCTCGTCCCGCCCAATTACCGAACATGAAAGGAATACCAAACCCAACCCAACGCACTCACAAACCTCATTTTCCAAACCTCATTTTCCTTCTCAAGCAAAGCATCTTTCTCTTCTCTTCTCTTCCTCCTAGCTACTATATCATCACCAATACCATGCAATGCAACCCTTCACAACCACATACACATACTCATACACATACACGTACACTTTCTCTCTCTCTCTCTCTCTCTCTCTCTCTCAACGCACCCTTATGGCAACCCAAGAAGCAGCTTTCAAGTACTCAAACCGGGTTCTCCTGAAGACCCTTTTCGAAAGACGCGACGAACTCATCGGCCAGAGAGTCATCGTTGGCGGCTGGGTCAAGTCTTCCAAGGAGGTTCAGAAACCGTTAACACCGCCGACTACGCCGCCGTTAGTGGATGACACTGACGACGACAAGAAGACCAAAGACGTGTCATGTGTTGAAATTCTTCAGTCTCGGATACCCTTCATTCGTAACATCTTTGATGTTTTTGGTGGAAGTGGTTATAATACATCTCGCAAGAAACGAGACTCTGTGCCTCCAAAACCTGTCCCTCCCAAGCCTACTATTGCGTATCTTCAACTCACGGATGGTTCTTGCGTTGCCAGCCTTCAGGTGCGTTTCATCACTACTCTTTTCTTCGCGTGTGTTTCCTTCAATTTTTATTTTTTTTTATAGAATGATGGCATTGAGTTTTGAATCTATAACCTCTGCAAATTGTCTTTCTTTCTTTCATTAGTATTTGAGTCTCCAACAACGGTATAGCTGTTCTTTTATGACCGAAACATAATATGTTCTAATCTAAAAAATAATAAGGAAGAGTTCACCAATGTATTTGTTTCAGAATCATCTATACTCATGTGATTTTTTTTATCACATATGCCCTTGTGCTTTATAAAAAATAAGAGATCACAGCGGCATATGTGATAAAAAAACATATCCTTTTGTAAATCACAGGGACATATGCGATAAAAAAAATCACAGGGACACAAGTTATTCTGCATTAAACCTCGGGGGCATTGATAAACTTTTCCCAAAATAATATGTTTGCAAATATGTAATGATAATTGCTCTCATCACTACCTTAGTTAGCGAGTCTAACGAAGAGTGATTTTTTTTTATAATTTTTTTTTTAATTACGTGCTGGAAATATGACATGTATGTTATGATCAATGTTATTAAAATCGGCCCGATCAATGACCCGATCGAGGTACTGGGTTACTGGTTCAACAGTATGACTCGGTGATTATATATAAATCTATAATTTATATTAAAAAAATTATAAAGATACTTAAATAGTTGAAAAAAATAATATAAATTCTAAATATTCTAATATAAAAAATAATAAATTATATATTATTGTCCAATAAAGGATCAAACAAACAGACACATATGTAACTATCAAATCAAAATTCCCTACATAGTGGATAACTGAGATAATATTAGTATTGTAGGTACATAACTTATGTAAATCAATAAGTAACAGATCACTCAAATATGTCAATTATGATTTTTTTTAGAAAACTTTTTTTTTTTTGAAAATTTTTTTTTTTTAAAACCTGGGCCGGGTCACCGATTTTTCACCAAAATCGGTCGGGTCGGGTCGTTCCGGATCTGATACTTGATCGATCCAAAGTGATAATCGGACTGGTCAGATGACCGGTTCACCGGGTTCCCGGTCAACCCGGGTGGTCCGGTCCAATTTTCACAATATTGGTTATGATATTGCTATCTCATCTTCCTTTTTAAAAGTATTCATAATTGAAGTGTAAAAAATATTATAGTTATTATGTTTTTTATTAGATAATGATGTCAGAATTAGTGTTCTTAAACTCAAACTAATCATTTACTAATCGGTCATTGTAATGGGTCACTTGTCTAATTAATGAGTTATTGGTTGAACCATTTGAACCATATGTTTGTAGAAGACATAATATAGATAATAAAAGAAGCACTATTACAAAAGTATAGGTGTGATTTAGTAGTTGATGTTGTATGTACTCTTCAGATGGTCTAGTGCGGTTTGAATTTAATAACAATGTCAAAACTTTTTTAATATTTTTTTCCTACTTTGGTTTTTCCTAAGCATATGTGATTTTTTGGAAAGGTAAGTATAATGCATTTGCTTCCTTAATTGATGAATTATTGTTGGGATTATATTAATTCGCATATCGCATTTGCAGTCATAATCAGAGGTTTTAATTTCTTAACAATGGCCTCACAAAATATGAAAACAAAATTTAGAGTGTAATTTTCTTTGTTTTTAGATTATTAAATTAAGAATTTCAAGGCTTATTTATGTGCCTGAAGTTACAAGCTGATGGCTTTTTCAAGGAAAATCACTTTATATTTTTTCATGTTTCTCATTGTTATTTAAAATCTTTTAGGTTGTGGTTGATTCCTCAGTAGCTATACCCAGCAATCTTCTGCCTACTGGAACCAGCTTATTAGTGGAAGGTCAACTAGAACAACTATCACCACAAGGGAAGCATGTTATTAAACTTACTGCTGAAAAAGTTCTTCACATTGGGAAAGTAGATTCTGACAAGTATCCATTATCAAAGAAACTAGTCCCACTGGAAATGTTAAGAGATTACTCCCAATTTCGGCATCGAACAACTACTGTGAGATTAAATAACATTTTGCTATATTTTTTACTCATTCTACTAATCCTCTTAGTATTTTTCTAGATAGAATGTTTTCCAGGTTGACACATAAGATTTTCTCACAATTGACATATATAATTAGTTATTGTTGACTTGTCCTTTGTTAGTTTGAACAAAGCACTGCATTTTACTTATAACTTCTTCATTTGAATAATTTAATGTGCATGACTAGACCTTACCATACATTCTTAATGTCTAGAAATGAATTTAGTAATTCATAAGATTTGATGGAGTAAATTTGGCAACAACAATGCCATTTTCTGTTTTTCTAGGATGCTGTTGAAATGCAGCAATTTAGCACTTTGTTCAGCATGCATATAAACTGTTAGATTTGATACTAGTTCATTGCATTCTAATAGGTCCTGCTTATTCCCCCATTATACATATTTATCAATTATAAGCCTTGCCAGTGATGCAATAGCATCTTTGTTATGTTATTATTTTTATGACAGTTTCTTATAATCATAAGTTTAGCCTTTATCTGTTTTTACTTTTGATTAAATTATGTGTGGTTCATATTTTAGGTGGCAACTGTCATGCGAATTCGTAGTGCTATGTCTTTTGCAACCCATTCATTTTTCAACAATCATGGATTTTTTGAAGTGCAAGTACCCATTATAACTACCACAGACTGCGAAGGATTTAGCAACATGTTCCAGGTTACTACCCTGGATCAGAAAGCAGAAAAGAAGAAGCTAAATACCATTCATGAGACTGAAGGTGTTAACCTTGAACTTGTGAAAGCAGCTGCAAAAGAGAAAAGCAACCAAATTGAGAATTTGAAAAGAACTGAAAGCAATAGGGAAGCTCTGGCTGCAGCAATTCAGGATCTGCGAAAAACAAATGAGCTTGCATCACAAATGGAAGCAAAAGAAAAGAAAAAATTAGGAACTTTATTCAAGGAAGATAAAGAAGACTCTTCAAAATATTTTTTCTCTTGCCAAACTTATTTGACTGTGTCTGGTCGTTTACATCTGGGGAGTTATGCATGTGCACTTGGAAATGTATACTCATTTGGACCTAGATTTCAAGCAGATAAAACAGATTCTGCTAAACATGCTGCAGAAATGTGGATGGTTGAGGTTGAAATGGCTTTTGCTCAATTGAAGGTATCACTTTTTCCATCTACAGGATCAATTTATAAGATACTCAAATTACCATATAACATCTATCTATTTAGTTGTTGAGATATATAAAATCATCAATGTAGCCTCACTCAACAGCTTAAGTTTTTTGAGTTGAATTGGTTCTTTACATGGTATCAGAGTCTCGATGTACCGAGTTCGATCCTCACCGCCTCCACTTTCTTTTTAGTGGAATTCTTTCTTCGCACAGGTAGGTGGACCTGTGCATTGTCCACCTTTCAAGCCCAGTGGGCTCTCGTGTGAGGGAGCGTGTTGAGATATATAAAATCATTAATGTAGCCTCACCCAACAACTTAAGCTTTTAGGTTGAATTGGTTCTTTACGGTTAACATTCCAATATCTCATTCCATGTTGTGCAATATTACTGATAGAATTGTTTACCATCTGACGGGGGTTCCTAGAGTAGTGACAAAACTGCTTCTTTGTGACTAAAAGGCATTTGGACTAATGCCTGCTATATGCATAATTATCTAATTTTTTTCTTCTTTTTTGATTGGAAGGTTTTTCTATCATTTAATAGTAAGTTGTACTTTGTGGTACTTTCAGGATTCCATGAATTGCGCTAATGACTTTTTCAAGTATCTCTGTACGTGGGTTTTTGAAAATTGCTTTGAAGATATGAAGTTTGTTGCCAAAAGAATTGACCACAACTGCATAAATCGTCTTATGGAGATTACATCAGGTTCTCCTGAAATGATGACCTACAATGAAGCTATAGATGTTCTTAGAAAGGTAGGTACTACCAAATGCTCATGAACGTAACATTTTGATCTCTGCCACTGTTTTTTTTCTGAAAGATAAAATTGATATTTTCTTTCTTACATATTATTTAGTTGTCTTCCCAGGTGGAAGATAAGAAATTTGAAACAAACCCTGAATCGGGTGTTGTACTCACTTCAGAGCACCTAAGGTATGTGGATATTATCATCATACTCTGAATTTTCTTATTATTAGAAATTCCAAGTGTTAGTGGTAAACTCTACCGTTGGTTAGGAATTGACCAAATGAGGATTATATAAGTGGAATAACATATGAACTTAATGTCTTAAGGTTTTGGATTAAGATATTGTGTCGAATCCACTTATTCTGGTATATTGTCACTTAATCCATTGATAGCGGTCTCCGTTGTGATGAGCTCTCTCGGACAGTCTAACACTTATTTGTAACGTGAACAAAGTAATGCCTTCACCAATAGTAGTTACTTACCTTTCTATTTATGTCATGGCAGCTATCTAGCTGATACTATCTACAAGAAGCCAGTTATGATATACAATTATCCAAAAGAAGCTAAGCCATTTTACATTCGTCTGAATGATGATGGAACTGTAGCTGCATTTGACCTGGTTGTCCCAAAGGTATGGCCAAAAGTGACTGCTAGTGTGGTACATGCCTTAGTGTGAGGGCTATTAACAGTGAGGCACAGCTTTGCAAGTTACTTTTTTGTGTTGAAGTCTTTAAAAACCTTTTGCAGGTTGGAACAATAATTTCTGGTAGCCAAAATGAGGAACGTCTGCACATGATAAGCTCAAGGTACTTTTGTTTGCTGTTTCCTGAACTCTTTTGTGTTTTCTTATGCAAGTGCAGTGACTTTCTAGTTTCTAACAAAACAGAAAATAATTGTCAAATACTAGTTTCACATTCAAAATTTCTATATATATTAGTCCAAGACAGTTGAGGGTGAATCTTAGAACAGTGGTAAGGTTACTCTTTTATGACCGGAAGGTTACGGATTCAAGTCCCCTCACCGTTGCCCTCATAAATCGGGGAGCCTTATACCCTTTGGGATGTTTGCCATTTTATTAGTCCAAGATAGTCTCTAAAATTTACATAAGGCAATTGTTCCAATTCTTTTGGTACTTATATGGGCATGTTGATTCCAGCTTTTCCCATAATGCCTCTTTGATGTTCGGGATCTAATCATAAACTCTTAGAAGAATCAGCCATGAAAAATCTGAAACTTTATTAAAAGATAGACTCCCTAGCTTACCCTTTCTACATAATTTGGGTCCCACATTTCAGTATTCCAATTTCTCCTTGTTCATTACTTTTGTACAATCATGCCCGAAAGCAAATTCATGATAGAATAGTTTTTTCTTTGTACATGTGGCATTTAGTATCATTACTGTTAAGTAATGGTGCCCATTTCCATGGTAAAATACGAAATAAATCTTTTTCTTCTCTTTTGGTTTCTGTATTATATGACAGAATTAATGAGTTGGGCTTGCCACAAGAGAAGTATGAATGGTACCTAGATCTTCGTCGAAATGGTACAGTTAAGCACTCCGGATTCACTCTAAGGTTTGACCTTATGGTCCTCTTCATAACTGGCCTTACCAATGTTAGGGATGTTATCCCTTTTCCAAGAAGCTATGGCAAGGCCAACAACTAATTAAATTTTAGGCTAAGATTCAAGTTGTGCTTGGGGTTGATGGCATTCCAACTTGCAATGTTGTGGACAGTAGGAAAGAAAAGACATTGTAAGATTGTGTAACATACTAATAGCTTACATATATGCTTGATGTATATAAGGAAACTTATTATTGAAATGAAATTTATTTAAGGCTTGTGGAGTTCTTTTTAGTGCAAAATTGATTTTGGGTTTAAATTTGGATACGGATTCAATGGTTTGTCATCAAACAACACTAAATTATTGAAGTTTCAAACTATTATGAATGGCACATTCCCACTTCTACTGCAGGATAAAATATTTATATCATGATTGCCCCACGTCGGCACACTCATTCACATGCGAAACCACCTTATGTCATCTCATAAATTCTAAAACCTTTCATAATACGAACCTTGGGAGAGTCTCACCCCAAAAACTAGTTTGTAAGGTAGGAGAGCTCATAATCCATATAAACCCCACACCAGAATTTTATGTTTTCGATGTTGGACTCCAAATCTCATACCTTACAACTGGATCGTAACATCCCACCACGCTTTGCAGACCAAGGCCCACGCGGCCTGGCTTGGCGTTAGTTTTTTTACTAGCCCTGGGCAAACACTGCAATATCAATGTCACCAGTTGTGCCACTCGATTGCAATTGGGAGACATAATGGAAACTCTAGAAAGCTTAGGAGAGCCTCATCCCAAAAGCTAGCTTTTGGATGTGACTCTCCCAAAGTTCATATCAGTATGTCATGCTCCCACACCAAGGGAATGACCTTTTAAGTCATTCTTGTCTCTTCACTCTCACTGAAGCACTATCATTTGGCACGTGACACACTGCAACGCCCTGTTTGCAGCCGGTTAATTAACATTTATATGATAATAAGCGCAACATACTTAATAAATTAAATGTGGAAGCAAACTAGTCAATTTTTTCTTTTCCTTATGTGTTTCAAAATTTATTACTTTTATGGCCAAAATAATATGGACGACTTTTCGTCTGTATTTTCGACTACTCTGGACATTTCCCACCATGATAATGTTCACCTGATTAATAGTTTAAACATATCTCATAACCATCGGGTCTCAAAGTAATGTCCATCATATTACTTATATAATTACATCAAATAAACAAAAGAAATGCAATTAAATAAATAACATAGACTTGGGTGTACATCACTGATGACATATACAAACTACCAATATAACATAGACATCCCCTATGCTCTCCGAAAAGAATGACATAGCATATACAACTCAAAATAATAACATGTGATGTACATGTCAAAATAATAAACTAATCCTAACTATCAGGTCAGATAATGTCTCTCCTCAGGCCTCTTGCCACACGATGCTTCAGTACCATCAACTCCTATCCCTGAAATGGTAATCCCCATAACACGGGGTGAGATAATATAATTACCTCAGTAAGCAAGGGACCCTTGGAGGGCTTCTCCATCCCTAAGCTCACTTCTGGTATAACTATAGTATAAAATTCATGCATGCATCAGAAAATGTATATCAATGCAGTGTGCAAATAATAAATCCTACTGGCCAGAGAATAAAACATGTATGCATTACGCAAGGTAACTCATCAAGCCACATACACGTACAAGGTAACTCATCATGTACTACGCATAAGGTAACTCCTCTTATGCTTCACACACAAGGTAACTCCTCTTGTGTGGCACACATACATACATACATATACATGCACCATATAACAGTTCATATCCACATACCATATGAAAGAACCACCCTCCCTTGGACTTTGGTGGAACAAATGGGGGATTAACCCCAAGGACTGAAAGCATACCTGTAGCTTTCACCTAAGCTTGCTTCAAGCCCAAACAAGGTCCTCCATAGATACTTGAGTATCAACTCAATTCACAACACCTATTTCAAGGTGAAGAGTATATCAATTAATTATATATATACATAACATGTAAGTCTCACATCCAACCCAAGTTTGATACTTACCTCTATCCCAAGCTATCACGAACCTTGGTCAATGTCCATAGCTTAGTCTAGCATATGCTCTTGCTCCACTAGTCCACTTGGTTTCACACTATAATTCAATGAACGCATACCTATTAATATTCAATTCATAAAGCTTAAGGTTTCTAATCAACCATAAGCATTATACACTTAGTGGAGACTAGTATTCATAGTAAAATAATCTCATTTATCACCCTTTAATGTCATAATCTACTCATCCAACAACTTAACATGCCATTTCAACTCTTGCATTTAATGTTCAACTAACATGTCACTAAAACCCCCCAATTTATAAACCCTTACACATGTTAATCTCATGAAATCCAATAATGGGTTTAAGATAATTACCTAGGGCTCCAAAGTAAGCAAGAAGGAAGAGTTTCCAAGCTTCAACACCTCCCTTCTTCTACGTACCAAGTTAAATCCAAAAATGGCAGTCCTTGGATGAGTTTTCTTTCTTTCATACTCAACTCACAAGTGGAGAAAGAAGGAGAACAAGATGGAGATAAGAAGTGGGAGTGATCTCTCTCTTTTCTTTAGGCTTTGTTTGGGAGTTTGGAGGGGAAGGAAAGGAAGGGGATCCAAGGGGGAGGGAGAGGAAGGAAATTGAAGGGTATTCCCTTCCCTTGTTTGGAAGTTAAAAAAATGGTAAGGGAGGAATATAGAGGGTTAATGAAATATTTTTACCATTTTATCCTTTTTTTTGAAAAATAATTATTATATTTTACAAATTAAATTAAATTTAAAATTTCTAACAAAATTATTTATGTATTTTTTACAATACTAAAAAAGATTATATTTTTGACAAAATTTCTACGTTGCAAACGATGAAAATTGTCACAAAATTATTTTTTCATCAGAATAATTTTCGACGAAATTTAGTTTTCGTCAAAAGTTTTGACGAAAATGATTTCCTCCATCAATTGTTTTAAACGAAAAAAGAATTACGTCAAAAATTTTGACAGAATGTTTTCCGTTCAAAATTTCGATGGAAATGTGTTCTGACAAAAATTTTGACAGAAAATGTTTTGTCAAAAAATTGGAGAGAAATGTTTCATTCAAAATTTTCGACGAAATTTAGATTCTGTAAAGAATTTAGACAGAATATTTTTTGTCAACATTTTTTACGAAAATACTTTCTGTTATTTTTTTTTTTTATAGAAATGTGTTCTGCTGTCAATTTTGATGGAAATGTGTTTCATCAAAAAACATGACGAAAATATTTTCCTTCGAAAATTTTTGATATAATTTTGTTTTTGTTAAAAAGTTTAACGAAAATGTTTCTGTCGAAAACTTTCGACAACATTTAAATACTCTAATGATTTTTTATGAAAATTTTTTTCGTCAAAAATTATCGATGGAAATGTGTTTCGTTGAAAATTTTGATCGAAATATTTTTCGTCAAAAAATTTGAAGAGTATGTTTTTTGTGAAATATTTTGAGGGAAATGTTTTGACGAAATTTATATTCCGTAAAGAATTTTGACAAAAAAAAATTCCGTCAAATTTTTTTGCAGAAATGTGTTTATTCACAAATTTTGAAGGAAATATTTTTCGTCAAAATTTTTTCCGTTGATGGAAATGTTTTCCATAAAAAAATTTTGACATAATTGTTTTAAAGTCGAAACTTTTCGATTGAAATGTGTTTCGTCAAAATTTTGGAAGAAAATATTTTCGTTGGAAGTTTTGACGGAATTTAGATTCTATCAATAATTTTGACTGATTTTTTTTTTCGTAAAAAATCTATGTCACTGATTATGGCAAAATCTGGTTCCGTCTCTAATTTCGTCTTTAGTTCTGACGGAAATTTTTTGACGTATATGATTTTCATCAAAAAATTTATCACTATTTTTGACGAAATATTTTTCGTCGATAAATTCTGTTGGTATTTGAGACTTTTCTAATAATGTCACATTTAAAAATGATTCACATATAGTAGTTTCACATTTTAATGCTAAGGGTAGATAAGTAATTTTTAATATTTTTCCCTTCAAACCCCCAAATTGGGGGAACTTTAATTTTAAGAAGAAGGAGGGTTTTGGAGGGTTTAGTAAAAATCTAAAATTTCTTCCCCTCATTTTTTTAAACTCTTAAACAAAAGAAGGGCTTTCTAAAACCCTCTTTTTCCTTTTCTTCCCCTCCTAAAATCAACTCTCAAACAAAGCCTTAGTGATTTAGTGAAGCCCAGTGGAAGGAGAAGGAGAAACTCTCCTCAGCGGTGAGAGAAGAAGGGCTCGACGGACAGAAGAGAGAAATTGAGGAAATGCGAGTGTTTTCTTTTGTTTTAATGTTTCAATTACTCCCGATGGGTATAAATTTATCTATCTTGTTTACTTAACTTTCGTTTTAACTTAGCACATTAGTCCAGAATATTTTTGTGAATATTTACAAATTTACTTTCACTTTTCAGTTAATTTTGTCTACCTGTGTTTTTATCCAAATATTGTCATTTTTATTCTTTTTCAACAAAGGTGACTTTAATACTTTTAATTTTAATTAGATTTCTCACTTAATTCCTCTTCAATATTTATCATAAATTACTTAATTCATATATAAATCCACAATTTAATGTTTGGGTCATTATACACAACATCCTTTCTCTCCATTCACACGGTGGAACCACCACAGACAGATCATTAAGGAGACATGTTTCTCCTCCATTCAAGTTGGATGAGTCAAATACAGCCATGGAAGCAACAGGCATTAGCTACAATCCATGGTTTCAAGCTTCAGCGTTTTGTGCATGGAGAAGATGCTATCCCAGCAAGTTTGCTTCACCAGCAAGGTAACTAATTTGAATATGTTGAAACTTAATGCAAAATTGTGCTAACTGATTTACGAGCTCATAAACTAATGAAAAAGAAAGAATAAAATGAAAGTAGTGAAGAAAGAAAGAACGAAGATGGGAATGTTTTTTGTTCTGTCCTTGGGACAGAGATGTCCAGCCCAATAGGCTGGTATGTTTCTCTTGGATCTAGTGCCCTCTCCAAGGTATCTATG